AAAAGTCTACTATATATATTCATATACTTCTTCAATAGATGGAAAACATAACATGTTGATGTTATATAGGAGCGTCCATCAGAGCAGGTTGTTCATAGGCTGGCTAGTTGATCCAAGTCAGCATACTCAACCATGAGAGCCAGAGCTAGCTCCTGCCAATGACACTTACTGGCTGGTATCAAATATTGTCCGTTTTCCCGCAACAATTTGTTGATGCGAAACATACAGAGGGCACAAGTGGAAACCTCGAAGAAGCATGCTGGTGGTGCTCAGGAAACAGCCGACTTCCCGTGGCGCTTGGCAGAAACTCTTCTCATCCTGCGACCCAACTGCGCAATAGGGAAATTAGACGGGGAGATCCTGTATACAAGCTCAAAATCTCGAATATTGGAATCCAGTTGAAATCCACCCGGGCACCCCTGGAATTGGCTAGTTTGAAGGGTTCGTCCGGTTACTGTACAAAGTCCCTGGAATCCCTGGAGCCCCCGGCAGTGGTGAGGAATGTATCGCATCACACACCCCCCATCCGATAACAATACTTCGATACTAAATACGTAAGATGTCTGTTACGCCGCCCCCCACCTAAGTTCATCTTAAATTCTATTTAAGATACAGTGAATAGAAACCACTGCCACTAGCCACTAAGCGAGCCGAGTGACGTGAAAGCATGACTTTCCTTTCACCCTATTTTGTAAACAGAAACCAGGGTAAGGCAGGGATAGCCCTAGACGGGAGAATAAACCTCCAAATAATGTACGTGAGCAAAGGGACTTCAATCTTGTGTTACTGAGATCGACTCGACATCCTTGTTCCGGAGGCCGGACTCGAAATCGGCGAGTGGCTTATCAGTGTGGAAACAGCAATTGATAATTGTTATAAGTGGTAGCATTTTTGTTGGCAATCCTCTTCCTGTCAGTGTTGAGATGCGGATAGATAGGGTAAGTTCATTAGTCTCTGTCCAGAATGTATTTGTATTATAGTCGACATCCGCTCGCTAACGGTGCCTTGCTGTGCTCACCCCCAAAAGCTATCCTAGTCCCAAGGAGACCTCTCGGTGCGATACTGTTACTATTTGGCGCCAAAGATTCATGCCCGAAAAGGATAGTCTATCTATACACATCTATTGAAGGGCGATGTAGAGCACAAGATATTGAAATAGTATCAACTTGAAGGCAATGATCAGAATGAGAAAAGTAATATGTATCCAGTCAGTGAGCTTGGAGGCTAAAGTACCTGGGGAGCATTTATCTATGCAATCCATAGAACCAAAGAAAGTTGAAGCAAGGCAAGTCATGCCAATGGGAACCTTGAAGTGATGAAGCTGGGGCTGCGTCTAAATATGTGCTAACACCATCCTCCCCCCTTGTTCTCAGACGCAGCGGAAGCTCTCAGCCAATGAGGTATTACCACCGATGTAGGTAGCCTGAGCAGGATACGGGCACAGAATGCGATGAGGCGCATGTGGAAGGTCCGGGTATTCCACGGGTAGGGTTTCCGGGACAGTGCTATTCTCGACCCAGCGTCGCAGCGCCTGCATGACGGTGGTCGGCTGTCCGCCAAGGCCGCCCGAGCAATGGCCCAACCCAGGCGATTCAAAAAACCGCCAAAAGTCATGGACATCTGGGAACCGCCCCTGCACCTCGTCGTAGAGAAACTCGGTGCCCTTGGTAGGAATTTGAGGGTCGGCCTGTTCAAAAGTGAGTCGTTATAGTCAAGGAGATGTTCAACTGGGGAAAGAATGTAACAGCGGGACCAGATGAGTACGTACCATGCCATGGTAGGTGATAAGTTTGCCGCCCGCAGCCTTGAATGCGGACAAATCTGGATCGGCTGCATTCAATGCATCGGCATATTCTTGGGTGGCGAGCTCAAAAAACTCCTGATACTGCTCGTGGCTCATCCCGAAGCTGTCAAAACTGGCATTCTTGGCCACAAAGAGATTGAACCACTCGTCCTTTAGCACGCTGATATTGAATCCTGGGATTGACCCGAAGGTGCCACCAATATCAGACCCCGGGTTGTACCCAAACCAGAGTCGGTGACCGTCTGTGGTCTGCGCGCCCGACCATGCAGCATCGGCGATTAGCGCGGCGCCCGGGCTGAGTGGTATGGTCCGGTTCAGGGTCGCACACGGGAAGGTCTTGTTCACCGCGGTGTAGTGATCGTAGTTGCAGGCGGTCATATTTGAGATAAGTCCATCGACCACCCCATCAAGGGGATCACAGGCGGCGATGGCCTCGCTGGTAAGGAAGTCAAGCTCACAGACTAGCGGGCTCACCTTGTGCCAGATGCGCATAAAGAGAGGGTAGTAGAGTGAGGAGGTAAATTTAGTCCAGGATTGAGCAGGTGCCGAAGCTGCGATCCCATCATAGGCACTCGGGTACCGCTCAGCAAGCATTAGTCCTTGTCGGCCTCCTTGAGAGCAGCCGGTCCAGTAGGAGTATTCCGGGGCGCGGCCATAAAAGCTACGCACCAAGCTCTTCCCAATAAGGGCTTGATCATTGTAGGCCCGCGATCCGAAATTGTTCAGAGCCACGTAGTCGATATTCCCAGGGCTGGTAAGCGCCCATTTAGTCGGTCCAGTTGTGTCAATGCCCAGTCCAGCATCAGTCGTGGTCGTAGCATAGCCTTCCCCAAGCGCTCCTCCCATAAACGTGTCTGACAACAGCCATCGGCCAGCAGCCCATCCGCCGCCCCCTGTTGCCTGTAGACGGCCGTTCCACTGATCCGGCGGCGGGAGCCAGGTTTCGACAGTGATTCGGTCATCATATCCGGGATGGGTGTAGGTTACTGTGATGTTACAGAACCTGGCATTATCCAGACTAACAGCACCGCCATTGTAGTTGAAATCGGCGAAAATATATGTGCTATAATTGCTGACCCAGGATGCGGAGAGAGAAAGAACTTCAGCCCCGAACACAGACGGTGTCGGAATGGCCGTGGGTGAGCAATTACTGGAGTTCGTCATAGCCAGTACTGGATAACAGAAACGAAGAGGAAAATGTGAGGGAGAGAAAGCAGAATGAATGACTGAAACCAAAGTACCCTACCTTCCCTCTCCCAGCTGGAGCTTTTATATCTTACAATTGAGTACAGTGTCTCATCTCATATGACGTATTTCGCACTGGCACTGCATAGTATAAGACTTTCCGAGTGGAGCCCCAAGCCAGGTGCGGATCCCTCATTCCCTTCCCAAAGGGGAAGTTCGCTTTCGGGTTTGGCTTTGCCAAGTTTCCCCGATAGAACGGCAACTTCTACGCCCCACTTGACATGTTCTGGAACCAAATTAGGGCCGGCCAGGGGACAACCACGGCCGATCGAATCTACTGATTTTTTCCACTCATCCACAACCGCCCCCTGCCTGATGCTGAATTGTCTTGGATCCAGGTTTTATTGCGGATCGTCACGAGCCAAAGTATTGTGCTCAGCGATGATTCGATCTTGCGGAGCCTTGAACACAGCCGTACCATGATTCATGGTCTCCAAGCCATCTGCTAACATGAAGAAACCCTTCATCCGTCAATTGTAAGTGGCATCTCGTCTGGGGGACTGCCGTCTTGTCTAATTACCGTTTTTGCGTAGCCCCTGTTACTCAAATGTATGTGTATTAAGCAAAGGCAATGTGTGAATAATCTAGATTTGTGATAAACAGAGGCTCGAGTTGATGGCTTTATTCATAACTCGAGGAACCCTCTTCATCTGTTCAACTTATTCCATAGCACATGGATATGGAAATTAACTAGTTGCGTATAGCCTGATCGAACATCATATGCTGAGCACTCAGATCTTTCTCAATTGAAAATCATAATTAGTAATATTTCTTCTCTTTCACTCATTTGAAGTAGTAAGGAATCGTTTGTTTAGTGATACAATAAGATCCTTTAGCTGAAGATGAGTGCATATACTCGGTAGACATAAGGTAAAGCCCAAATCAGATCCTGACACCAAATGAGATTGTAATGCCCCTTTATGTCGGTCATAACAGGGTCAAAACCACCACGGATAAGTCATCACCCAGCTATCATTCTCAAGAGCCGAGAAAGTTCTCACAGACTCTAGTTCTGCTCAATGGTCAAGGTTCAGAACCGTGACTCGCTCTATGTCGAACCCCCGAGCCCTGAATCTGGTGCCTGAATTGGCTGAAACCTGGCAATTTCCCGGGTCAGACCCTCGCGCCATGCTGCCTCAACAATGAACATCCCTTTTTATTTCAACCAAGACACCAATACCACGGTTGTAATAGATCCATACCACGCCCAATAGCATTGTGCGGCTTCACCCTTCGACTATATAAAAGATCCCGAACTGCTGCAATCCTGACTCTGCACATGTCATACATCGACTAACATGAGCTCGGTTCTCATTAATCTTGTTGCTTTTTCATTGGAACCATAAATGGGCAGTGTACACATAGAAAACCTTTGGAAGGGACCTGAGTAATATGTGGAGTGTAATTCACCACGCCCTACGGCCCTCGCCTTACGCCCTGCTGCCTGCAGAATTCTCCTTCACTAGGTAAGTGTACAGACTAACCGCCGATGAATTCTACTTGTGCGAATAGCTTTCAGTGTCTTCGATTAATGGGTCTATTTTTGTTCGTACTTTCATCTGCCACCCGACACAACCCTTCTAGAGTGCGCTCTAGTCCTAACCAAGCCGTGTTTTATTAAATGCAGAAGTCTCTTCGGAAATACTGGAGCCTGAGATCTAGGGTCTATGAGGCTATGTATAATAAGCGATAAATAGGGTCCAGAAAATGAGCTCCCAAGTTTACAATACACTTATAGACGCCGCTATCTGGCTACGAGGGACGAATACCTGGGGCCATTGGGTCTCTTTCCTTTCCCATCGGTCTAGCCGTTGCTATCTAAGCGTCCCGTGAGTCTGCCATTCCTTGAACCAAAGAATTGCTTTGTGAGGAAGTTCATCTAACAATTTGGGAATTAGATCCAGGCATACATGTCACTATGGACAACCCGGACCTTGAAATGCTCATTCCTCGCGCGATCCCTAATGCCCCAATGGATATGCTACAACCGAGGTCGAGTGCCCGAATCCCCGGCCCAGTGTCCGCAGTGCCGCGACTCTGTCACCGAGCGAGCTCAATTGGCCCAAGTTGCGCCGACAGAAGACACTCGCAGCGATGAAGGACTTCTTCGGCGATGTGCACGTGAAGGATTTCGATGCCGTATCCTATCTCGAACGGGTGGCCAGCCCACCCAACGTCGATATCGCCGTGTCCGGTGGAGGGTATCGTGCCTTGATGAACGGAGCCGGAGCCCTCAAGGCCTTTGATAGCCGCACCGTGAATGCCCCTGCCACCGGTTAATAGGGCGACTTGCTGCAGTCGGCCACATACCTGTCTGGTCTGAGTGGTGGCGGGTGACTGTTGGGCTCCCTCTACCTCAACTATTTTACCTCCATTTCGTCGCTGCAAACGGACAACTTGGGGAGTCCCTGGGAGTCTCTGAATTCTATTCTCGAAGGTCCCGACGATGGAGGAGCACTCTTGTCCTATGCCAGAAAGTACTATGGAGAGCTTGTGACGGCCATGGCACAGAATAGTGATGCGGGCTATCCGACCACCATCACGGAGTTCTGGTAAGCAGGCAGATTCTGCTCCCTTGCCACAGGTTAGTGGTGCTTGCGGGGCTTCTGGGGCAGGTTGGGCTGTTTTGATTTTTGGGGGTGGGGAGCTGGTAGGTGGGGTGTTTGCGTGTTCATAGGATAATTGGTAAGACTTGGGTAGTCTGGGTGTAAAGGATGATAGAAAACACTCTATGAGTGAAGAAAAGACATCTTGACTACCAGTGTTAGTGTGACTATAGGTATTTGACTGAGCGAGAGACTTCTCTTACTATCTCAAAGTGTGAGGCCAGATTGATAAGTTCAAATTGACTCCAAAAGCGCCTATGGATCAAAGTATCTCACCGCTCAGCCAGATGGTTTGTCAGACATCGCTCCAGGCAATGGTTCGCTCCCATATTATTCAGATGTCACTGTACTGTACAGTAAATAGGTGGTGCTGGAAGAATTCTCAAGGGAAGAGAAACAGCAGGGTGGTGTGGTCCAATCACAGGTCAAAATCCCCATGCCTCGGCAGCAGATATGCAAACAAGGCAAACCTGCTGGCGCCGCCTTCGCCACTTTGCTTCTTCCCCGTCTCTTTACTAATGTCTCTACTACTACAATGAATTGGGATCAAATCTATTATGAGTATCTATTTCAACAGCCAGATACGAAAAGTCCTTTCTTACTCTACTACCTCACATATCAGAGAAACAATGCACCCATTGTTGAGTCTTAGCCCTTGCTCGCTCGCTCTGGTAAGTAGTAGCTAGAAGCTATTGATTTTTGGAATAGCTTTAGCAGTCATGTCATCGGACTGACTAGACAAAGAGAGTGTCATTTGTGTACCTAGATATCATAGCAAACAGCTGAAAGGTGGGGTTACACTAGAGGAGGGGCAGCAATCAATCAGATCCATAGCTTATGGCTTTGAGATCTTCTACCCTCAGTACATTCTTATTGGCTGGTAGGGCTTGACAAAGAGTACCACAACCTAGGATACCAGGTACTTATGAAGCCTGTCTCTAAGACAGATACTGCCCACCCCCGCTTTCATCAACAAAGAAAATCATTCAATTGTAAAATGCCCGCTACTTGATATGTAGAGTACTATCTTTATCATCTTTCACGCTCCTCCTAACCCAGGCCCAACTTCTCATTGCGTGCCATCTCCTTGTGTTTAATATCAAAAAAAAGCCCTCTCATTTATTTCCAATAACGGCTGCTTGCATAGAAAGAAAACTAGGCAAGTATCAGAGATTTGATTTAAGTGCGGCCCTGCTAGTATAGGACTTCAATCATGGCGAACTCATCTCAACTCTCCGACTCAACCACCTCCGCTTCGGTTTCGGCTGAGACCAAAACATTACTTCTTATTATGGGGCCCTGTGGGGTAAGAGGTTGCGAGTGTACCTCCGGAGAAAGTGTATCCAATTCGGATCACTGGTGCGAAGCAAAGTGTACCAGATGCTCACATCCTCTCAGCGAACATAACAGCTATGGTCAGTAGCTTTCGATGCTTGATATCTGCTCCGACTGATATGTTCCAGGTGCCCCCAGTTCTTCTGGCGCTGGTATTCTGTCGGCTCGGAAAACCAAGCCTCTCAGTAAGGGACTCCCTATTTCAGACCATGACGGCAGAATTCTGTTTGACCTTCTCCAGTGATCAAGCCTTATGTCAGCCCACGACATGATCTAATAAACGAATTGATCCGCCGTCTAGAACGCTACCACCTGATCCGAATCAACGGGACTCCTGCCTCCGGGAAAACGACAACAATGAAGCTGTTGGCCAATGAGTTACTCGAACGGTATCCCGATACTCCGTTGTATGTTCTATCAGGTTGGCCGGAGAGACAGGTTTCGGCTGCAGGGGGCTGGATACGCTATTTCGAGAAGCAACTCAACGTCCGTGGTGATGAACTTGAAGCATATCCATGTTTCATCCTTTTCGACGAGGCGCAAGAGTCATATTGGGATACGGACCTATGGGCTCAACTCTTTAAGTCTATTGAGAAGACAGTCTCCGTGCATTTTGTTCTTTTCACATGCTACGGCGCAGGGATGACCCATGGCAGCGGGGGTCAGACGCTCCCTACTCCGACGCCTATCAATTTCCAACTCCATCAGCAGGTATCGCTGAAACCGGAAGAGGGAATTTATCACCACCCGGGGCGGAAGCAAATTGGCTTGCTGCTTAGTGAGAACGAAGCGTACGATGTTCTGGACCAATATGTGCCCAGCAACATATCGAATGGTGCCGACATTCTCACAGAAGCATTGAAGTGTGGATTATATCTGGCCAGTGGTGGCCACGCGGGGCTGCTTGTATCCCTTGTGGATGCCCTGGAGCAAGTACCGGTAAGCCATATTCGTGAGTGAAGAAGACCTGAAAGACTGACTAACTTGCTACTTTGCTGCCTTTTACAATAGGAGCTTTATGCCTTGATCCAGAAATGCCAACCGCTCGACTGGGTGACAGCAAGCCATGGTCTGTTCAGCGATGACCAACGACTGTTCCAAATTATTCAGTATCTCCCATTTGCTCGCGGCCTTCCTAGACAAGAATACCTGCAACATCACGCTTTCGCTAGTGTCTTCAAGAACGCCGTTGCTCACAACGGGACTCTCCAGTCGAGTTATCTCAAGAACCCAGATCAACAGAGGGCCCTTGAGGATATCTGGAAACAAGGATGGCTTCATGCGGAGACGGTCCAGAGAGATACACTTTATGTGTTTCCTAGCCAGATCCATCGATGGTAAAGTTACTGGTCGATTTTCGATTTGATGTTCTATTTGCTGATACAATATCTCAGGTATTGCCAGTGTCTTTTCTCTCAGGTAAACTCAGAGAAAGAATTGATCTATTCGTCGCCTCTTGAGATGGCTATCGATGCTATTCGCAAGTTTGACCCATGTCAGCTATCAAGTCGTCTACGCACACTGGAGGGTGATCCCATCCCTATTGAAGACCAGTACCAGAAGGAATTCTACCGCTGCCTATTCCCACTGCTGCTCGAATTCCAGATCAAAATGGCTCCAGAATACCTTATCAAATCAGGGGTTAGGAGCGGAAGAATCGATTTTCTGATAGAGCAGAAGCGGTGGGGGCTGGAATTACTACGAAATAGCAACCGTGTCAGACAGCATATGCAACGGTTCAAAAAAGATGGTCAGTATTTTACGATGCTGAACCGCAAGCTGATACAGGATTATGTTGTCCTGAATTTCACTCGCAAGATGCCGCAGAAAAGCTATCCAGGTAATATCCTTTGAAGCCCTCATCCTGATAGCCCGGTCTAAATCTCTTCTCTAGAATATCGCGGTCATCTATACCATGTAGTCTTTTCTGAGGATTTTAGAATTGTTCGTATCATCGATGCCTCGGATCTGAGTGAAGTCACTACCCTGGTTCTAGTGGAGAACCCACATTTTCTCCGCTAAACAGTAACTTGCCTTGGTCTTACGCTTCTTTGCCTCTGTTTCGTTAACACAATTTGATAAGATCTTTGATCCAATTTGACAGTCATGCCTTGCCTGGCTATTACACTGAATCCAGTGTTATTTATTAATGTGTTTATTGTAACCCCGGGCCCTGAGCGGTAAGGACCAGGTTGTAATGAGTAACGTCACAGTGCCGATTCCATGGTCTCGGATGCTCTACAAATTGAAGAGCGTGTACGACACCCTCAACTCCTCGCGCGGATGAACTCCACCAACGCCTTCCTCCCCGCCGGTCGCACCGGTGCCTCGGTATGCATCGCCCCGGGTACATCCGTCCTCACCATCTCAATCCCCAACCTCCTAGCCTCCGCCTTCAGCTGCCCCGCAGCCTCCGGAGGAATCACCTCATCGTTCGCAGCAGTGAGCAGCAAGATGGGCGGTAACACTCTCCTCTCCGGTGCATGTGGACTTGAACCTGCCGTTGCATCACCCCGAGCCGTCTCAATCCCGTCAGACGCATCTCCATCTTCGCCATCCTCAGAAACAGCAACCCCATCGCGCCACGCCACCATCCGCCGCAACGCGAGCACACTGTCCCAGTGGTTCCACAGGAACGGCCACAGATACCGATACGGCAGCCACTTCTGCGGATACAGGCTGATAAGCATCTCCTTGACGCTGGAGGAGGGCGCCTCCATGATCAAGCCTGTGATGGGGGTGCATGAAGCTTGAGATGCTGCGACGTCAGCGTCAGCAGGACTGGGCTTCTTAGTCGTGGATGCCACCGCACCTCCATTGCTAAGATACGTCGCCAGCGCGGTGGTCGCAACCGCCGAGCCCAGACTGTGACCCCACAGGACCACGCGGACCTCTCGGTCCGGTGCCGTGTAGGTCTGCATCACCCAGGCCAGGAACGCTTGAGCGTCGCGCTCGATCCCCCTCTGCGAGGCGCGGCCGGACGAGGTCCAGTAGCCGCGGTAGGAGAGGGCGGTGATGATGTACTCGACCTCTGGTTCTGGTTCTGGAAATCCAGAAGCAGGCGGGGCGTTGGACAGCGCCCGCAGGGTCTGCGAGAGGAGCGGCAAGCGCAGCGGGGTCGAGCCGCCGTTACCCTGGAAGTAGCAGATGACTACTGTCTTTTTCGGGGGCGGTTGTCCGGGGAGAGGGAGACGGCCCTCGCAGACGGTGAGTTTTGTGCCGTCCAGGCTGCGGATCTGCTGCGTGGTCCATTGTACGGGACGACATGCGGGTTCGTAGGCGGCGATTGTCTCGGAGCGGGAGAGCGGTGGGAGCCAGGAGAGGTAGAGGAGTTTATCTTGCAGGAGGACGATCCAGAAGCATTTCCAGGTCCAGAGGCCGAGGAGGAGGCCGAGGAAGATGGTGGGGGGGATGAGAATGGGAGGGAGGGTTGTGGTGAAGAGGGTGCGTTTGCAAGCTGGGTTGAATGGTTGAATAGGCTGTTTGGTAGGCAGGTGATTGATTCTGGGAGTAGGTTTCGAGATGTGGATGGTTGCTTTAGATGCTCTAGATGGGTAACATGGTTGACATGATGTTGCGGCTCGGCGAGTCGCTGTTGTCGCGGGTGCTCCGAAGCCGCGTCGTGCGCACTGCACAACCCATTGACCTCGCATCGACGGCACGACGGTGACGGCGGCGAGGGTCTAGGCGCGCCGATTTGCGTCGAGTTCCGAAAGAAGGTATGATGGCAACGAGGCGTGAGGATGGCGGTGGATCGTCAATGGTGAGGCAGCGCGGCTTTTCATTTGGTGGAGATGCGGTGGGGTCGGACTGTTTGCCGCTGACTAATCCAGCATCGGCTGGGGGCTAGTCACGTGGTGTGTTGATTCTCCCTCCCACTCTCGCTTCATCTGCATCTGTTCAGCACAGCTGCCAGCGAAAGCGGTTGCATTCTTGCTTAATATCCTCGAATTCCAATCCAGCATGATCTAGACTTGGTCCACGTGATTGTATACGTTCCGAGTCCACACACTCGGCAAATGCGACCGTACTAAAGAGTGGCCCACAGCATCTACGCCAGGGAGCCTAGCTAGCATGGAACTACGAATACTATCAACATGGCGAATCCGGAATGCTTTGCACCAAGCCACAGGGACGCGCCTGACTTCATCCACTTGGAAAAGTCTTTTAAAATAGGTGGCCGAGGCAAGCCGCGTGGAGCCGGCAATCACCGACGGATCTCCCAGCCGAGGATCAGCAGCCAAGCCTACTGTTTTGACTGGAGACTGGAACAACAACATTAAACACAGATATGGTATATTGGAAAAGATAAGTAGCAGCCTGCCTTTGGGGCAGAAGAAAAGGTATCAACAAGAGAACAACAAAACCACCAACGACACTCAGGTACTGGTGTTTTAGTTCCAGACGTATATACGGGATAAGTATTGACATCGGTAGCGAATATGTACCGAGAAGACACGATCGAACGCGTGTATATACACCTCACCCACAGACCTGATCGGGTAACCGTAACACTACCCAGAGTAATCAATCACAGCCGCGAGACGCAGCGGGCCAGCAGTGACAGAGCCTCCGATGCCACCGACCGAACTCTCGGAGGGGGTGTAGGCATTCTCGACGGTATCGCCGCCGGAGGTGATGTACGAGCAGCCGGTGGTGGTGCCGTGGCGGCAGAGCTTCATGCCCTGGATGGTCTGGTCGGCCTCCTCGGCGACGATGGCACTGACGTCCCAGCCGGACCAGCTGTCGTTCTCCTCGTCGCCGAAGTCGAACTCGCCCCAGGTGCACGAGTACTCGCCGTAGTCGTTGGTGGGGAGGCTGTCGCCCTCGGCAGCGCCCCAGCCGCCCTGCGAGTTCTCGTCGAAGGCAACGTAGCGCGTCTCGCCCGAGGACAGCGTGAAGTTCAGGGCCGAGTGGCCGAAGAACCCGTCGTCCGCCCCGTCGGGCCCGATCTTGTTCCAGATGCTCACGAACCAGTCCGCGCTGTTCTGCCCCGTGAACTGCACCACGTACTTGTACTGCCACGCCTCGCTGGCGCTGACCTCGATGATGTTGCTGCCCCATGGCACGCCTACGTTGCCCACGTAGGTGTCCCCGCTGCTGCTCGTCGTGTTGCTGCGTTCACCGAACCCGCTGGTCGAGTAGACCCCGCTGGTCGGGTAGGTGTACCACGCTGAGCTGACGCCAGCAGCGCTGCTGCTGGCTGCGACGGCGGAGGAGGTGGTAGTGGTGCTGGTGGTGTGAGCATGGGTCTTGGTGTGGGTGCTGGTGCTAAAGGTGGTGGTGGTGGCTTCGGAGCCACCGATGGAGAGGCCAAGGCTCAGGCTGGCGCTGATGGCGAGATCCTCGTTGAGGTCGAGTTCGACGAAAGCGGCGGCGTCGCTGACGGAGGTCGTGGCGGCGGCTTCGGCCGTGGTGGTAGCGGCTTCCTCGTGGGTAGTGACGGTGGGTGCTACACCAGTGACAGTGCTGGTGAGCGTGATGGTGTGGTAGTTGACCACAGTCTCCACGACCACTTCACGGGCAGCCAGGTGTGCCTCCGGGGCACGTTCGGCATGGCCGTGGCCGTGGGGGTGACGGCGCTGGTGGCCGTGGGTGCGAGCCAGGGCCGATTCGGCGATGGCGCTGTAAAGAAGGAGTGACTTCCACTGCATGCTGGGCGTGGTTGGCTGATCAACGAATGGGTCGGAAAGGTAGCTGTGTGTCGATCGATTCGACTGAAGGAGAGTGTTGGACGTATGCTCTGCGCACGACTGCTATGACCTGGCTGACTTGAACCGGAAGGGCACGATCAAAGGAACGACTGGATGATGCTTGAAAGAAGAAAGAAGATCAGAGCCGACAGAGTGGTCCCCAGTCTCAGTATATAGATTAACCCGCCGCCACCCCAGTTCACACGGGCGTCAAAGCGGATAGCCAACCGACGGTGGACGACGCAAGACAGCGCCGAGTGGAGACAGGACAAGACTCGAGAATCGTCAGCATTGGGCCCCGATCAGTCACATTGCCTCGAGAAGGCCCGTTGTCGAATGGCGCGATCCAGACCAGCTGGCGACTAAAGGAGTTTGTCGAATCAATAGTTCCCCGTTTAGAGCAGTGAAACGGAGGGCCACCAACTTCTTCTCTCCCCACCCAGTTGCTCGGGGCCGGAACAGAACAGATTATAATCCATCGCTGCTGTTGGCTGACATTCCTGCAGAGGAGTGTTTTGGTTGTCAGTGTGGGACTCCACAAACAGGCTCTTTCCTACTGTTCGGTTTTCAGGTACACAGGCCTGGTCATTGGCATGCCATGCATTCCCTACGTAAGCCCGCGACGGCCCCCCCTTGCGTCGTCACTCGTCACCTCAGCCCTCCCACTGGTCCGACCAGAGACGCGGACATTTTTCCAAGCCATGTGTCTAAAGTTGTGCCTGGCCCCTCGCTGAGGATCTAAGGAGCGAAGGCAGGTTGCTCGGGCGAATGGTGACATTCCTAAGGCAAACTCTGGGTTCTAGACGGAGGGCTAGCGCAGTCCATCGGAGTGGGTCATTTCCGAACGACGGATCGCAGAGGTTTGTGTACTGTACTCCGCAGTGCAGCTGGTTGTTTGAACTCGTACTATAGATTGTTATTGCAGGTTGGTTTGCTGGTTGACTTTGACCGATGTTCAAAGTTCCCACCAGGCAAACACATAAAAATTTCTGAACAGTGAGGGCTAAGCCTTGTTAGCGCGGGCTAGCCGTGGAACTCCTTTCCTTTCCGTCGCGATCGATCAGCACCACGTGTGCTGGTTTCAGTAGGAGAGATGATGTGCCTGATCGACTGCTGATGATTTCACCTGTTTGTAGGTGCTAAATTGCAGCAGCTATACACCTGTCATAGAAGATATCTTGACTTGTCACTTCCCCCTCCCCCCGTTTGCTACAAACAAAGATCTTGACCTGTGTTTTTGTTCCTGTCCGCCACTTTAGGGCACAACAACTAACAGGTGGGGCGGGAGTTACGTATACCCGCCAGAACTAGTGCTGGGCCAAGGTTGGCGATGACGAATCCACGGTTCCGGTGATTACCTTATTCTTTTGCCGCGGTGTCTGTTTGTGTCTTGTTCTGTGGACGTATGTATTGAGTACTCCAGACGGATTGGAGCAAGGTTTTCGGGCAGATGGCTGCATTCTGAGCTAAGAGAATAGTGCATGTACTGTAGAGTACTGACAATCTTGTATGCACAAGTAAACAAAACCAACACCAGATCAAAATTAGGGACAAGAGAAATAAGGTCAAATTATATCAAAAGGAAGAGCAAGAAGGGAAAAAAAGTTAAAGTCAAAGCAAAGAAGCAATATCCTCCAAGCAATCCAACCTTCCCTGAACAGCAATAGCCGAACCAACATCCCTAAGCACCCCTAAACACACCTCATAAACCATAAGCCCCTTTAGTCTCCCTCGTCCCCCCTCCCCCAAAAGACAAGAGGCATGATCACTCATCATCATCATCATCCCCCTCCTTCTGCCACACACCTTCCCCAGATGCCGGATTCATAATCCCCTGGCCGGCCCAGTACTGATCCTGGGTTACCACCGCACGAAACGTGTCCTGATTCTCGGTCTTCCACAGCTCGCGCAGCCCGTCCAGCTGCGTCTGCAGCACATCGCGAAACCCCGGCTCGACCGCATCGCGCCGGCGGAGCATCTCGCGGTGCACGAACTCGAACCGCTCCATGGTGGCAAAGGTCACGTCGCTCAGGGCCGCGTCGACGCGCTGGATGTCCGTCGGCCGCGGGCCATCCCCGACTCTCGCGGACAGAAGCTGGGCGAGGGGCTCTCGGAAGGCGGCGAAGGCCTCGCTGACCAGGAACAAATCCTTCAGGGTCATGGTGTGATAGCGGAGAACGGCGGCGGGCCGGCCGAGGAGGCTCAGGCTCCAGGCCCGGTAGAGGGCGCGCACGAGACGGCGGGTTTGCGGGGACCGGTTGGCAAGGCCGTAGCCTTCGGGCTGGAAGGCTCGGGTGGCGACGTGCTGGGTCAGGGCCGCGCTGATCTGGGCGGGGTCTTGGGCCAGGAAGCTTGTGATGAGCGGGTGGGTGGTGTTCACGCCTAGGACTTGGCTGAGGAGGTAGTTTACGAGGGCCGTGAGGTCTGGAATAATGGGGTTCATCAGTGTGGGGACTAGAGGGGTGGTGAGTGGGTTGTGGTTAGCATCTGGTCAGTGGAAGGGTTGGGTCTCGGCTCATGCCTCGACGAGGGAAGGACGAAGAAGAGATCTTACTACTGCCTAAAAGGACCCAGATGCGATCGAAGTTTGGAGTCGGCTGATATCCAAGTGTCCTGATGGCGAGTGTTTGTGCGTTGTGCAGCAATCTCATTAGGATCCCTGGGTTGAGCTTGTTCAAGTCTGTGAGTCGGGGGTCGCTCTCTTGATCAGCTAAGAGCTGCAGCGGGAGATGCACCGAGCCGAGGATCTTGGGAGCCATTTTCCGGAAAATGTAGGCAATGTTCTGGTGGACTATGGCGTGCAGACGGCGGGATGTCAGGATGAGCTGGATGACGTCCTCGAAGGTCCACAACGCGAGTATCATCATGAGGATGATCTCAGCCGGGAACACAGCGAAAGGGTCTTGGAGCAGGGTAATTCTGCCGCCCCATTTGGGACCGTCTTTATCAGGCATCGTGGTTGCTTGATGCTGATGAAAGCCGATGTATTGCCAAAAGCAGGAGCTGAATTCGGAGAAATCGGACGATGGCAAGGTCTTTGATGGGATACAGGTGATGATGAAAGTGATGATGAGAAGAGAGGAGGGAGTTATAAAGGAAAAAGGTTGGGGTGATATTTATGTCTGAGATCTACGCAAAAACAGGACGAATTTGGCCGTGCAGAGCGACGGCGACATCATCATCTACATTCATATAGGAGACCGCATAAGCATTCACTGTGCTCAGTGTGCTCTTTTGGCGGACTGTGGGCTGCTTTGGTGGCTGGTTTGTCGGCGCTAAGAGAACCGTACGGTCTGCATAACACACAGGCTGGCTGGTATTACTTCCCATCGCTCACAATGCTTCACAGCAAGAGCCAGAAGACTGCAAGCATAGGAAGTCAACATGCGAACAAAGACCACGGAAATTGCTTCGACTTTCTCTTTGTAGAGGAAAGCCCCCGTTTCTCATTCATCCACTACATTGCGGTGGGGATCGATAACATACAGATCGGACTCGTCAGCTTCAACTTTTCCGTGTTGGCCTCGACAAACTCCAGGCTAACTATCCTCCCACAGCCATAGATCCGACTGAAGTCCCTCCCGCTCTGCATCCAGCACCAGATTATTCGCATTCAACTGATCCGTCACAGACAGCATGTAGTTCAACGACAATCCAAGACCTCGCCAGTCGAGCGACAGTTCATCCTCCGGATCGGGAGGCACATCGGTAGGCGGGATGGTTGGGATGCTGTCCACTTCCTCAGCGCTGGGGCCCGACAGATGCTCCAATTGTCCGAGCGGTCGCTGTTGACTTTCCGGCGTGGCCAGCTGCCCGTGTACTGTGTCTGTGCTGACCGGGGGCGTTTGGTGCCGTTGAACCAAAGGTTGAACGAGTTCCTCCAGCAGCTCGATCTCGGACTTGCGGAGGTGTGCGACGCGGTTGCCACGCTCAATCATCTCATTCAGCAGGCTGAAGCCGGCTTCACGGTAGGTCGGATCCATGGCAGCGTCGGGTAAAATGGCGGAGATGAGCGAGAGGACGAAGAAGGATGAGAATACATTCTCGAGATCGAATGGGAGAAACGTCTCTTTAATAGAGACAGTGTGGTTAGCGATAGAGGGCTGGAGATAAGGGTGATAGGGTAATGCAAACCCAGCAAATTTTGATCTCGAAGAGCAGAGAGTATTTTGAGGGATTTGACGGCGGAATCAATGCATGCTTGGAGGAGGGTCTGCACGGGTGAGGATAAAGTGCGAAACTCGGCGCCTTCTTCGTAGCAACTAAGGCGTTCCCATAGAAGGCTCAAGACAAGCGGTCTTGTGGTGACGATGATGCACTGGTTATCGTGAGTATAATGTGCCGCATTGACGGCTCAAGACAGCTTACCAAATGGCATGACAGAGTCAGTCGAGTGGTGACGCCTGACAAGGCGTCCACTGAGTTTGCGAAACGGTTGGAGAAGACTTCGTCGAGCTCGCGAGACAAGTCGGACATCTCTTGTAGAACGGAGCGGACCTTGCGTAGGAATAGACCTCCCAGCGTGCCATCGGCACTGTACACGGCTGTCGACTTTGTCAGCAAGACGTTGCCAGCGATCGGAGAATATGGTATTTACTGTTCAGAACACGAGCAGTCACTTGCGATATCCTGACGTGCAGACTCAGGACGGCTTCGTTCTGCGAACATGTTCGTGGGTCCCACAAAATGGCGTTGACATCCTCGTCGTTCACCGAGTAGGGCGAACCCATCAAAGAGGAGAATTTGCGGTCCAAGATATATACCGTCCACCAGATGTTGCTCCACCGGGTGACGAGCTTCTGTCCCAGCTGTTCCACGGGCTGAGCGCGGTGAAGCCCCTCTACCAGAGCCATTCGCATAGAATGACCAATCTAATCCAGTTAGCGAGAACCCAACAGTGCTCGCAAGTGATGTCTCACATAACAATAGGCGGTATCTCTCATATCCACCGAGTAAAAGTAAAGCGCAATGAGGGCTAACGTCTCGATAGCAAGAGTTGGATCCTGCCACAGCCCCGTGATATCCGGCAATAGCGACATGGCTCGCGAGAAATATTTCGTCCACGAGGCAGTGTTGGACACCGTCCGCACTGGAGCCAAGAATGCTTCTCCAAATGCCAGTATGACCAAAAACTGCACGTACCACAAACGTGACTCTTGTACCTTCTCCGCCGCATTCTTGTAAAATTCGTGGAGATGGCGGAGAAACGCGTCCTCATCGAAGAGCCGGTACATATTGCCAAAGTGGAACTGCACCGTGCTCACCATGTACAGGGCGTGCTCCATCGACGGCAGTCCGCTGGTATCGGGCACCTCCTCGGAGCTAGCATGCCGCCATAGTATTTGATACGCCTCGCCATCGGCCGCAAGAGGAATCGACCGCTGGCTGTCGGGATATATACGTGCTTGAACAATGTTGAGGACGCGTCGACTGAACGACCACGTCGAGGTGGGGCCGAGGAACACTGCGCGAGATCAGTTGTGTTAATCCCGTCTGCTGAAAGTACCACGTACGCCACTTCCTGTGTTGTCGACCAGTGTGTTTGACATATGTTGAAGGGGAGACTAAGGGGTTGGAGGCAAATCGGTCGTCGTAGCGGTCGGAATCGAGAGGAGCTGGGGTTTCTGCGGCTTCTGCATTTCCATCTTCACAGACTAAGACGGTTAGACAAGGCTCCATGTCTGTACTCAGGTGGATCACATACCATCGAGAGACCCATTGATGGTGTCTTCCCTCAATGAACGATGTCGTTTGCTGGTGGGTGAAGATGGCACGCCTTCTAGCTCTTCAACTTTGCGTTTCAAGGACAGGAAAAGCCTGGGAGAAAGGGATTGCGGTCAGCGCAAGCAAGGAGTGGTGGATGAGTGGGCAAGTGAGGAATACTCTTCAGAGACGACAATCTTCCGATCCTCTTCAAAGACGCAATTCTGGCGACGCTGGCGACACTTATCGCACGGATGCGTTCCGGAACACTTGACCTTTCTCGAGCGACATCGTTGACAGCTGGAGTGTTTGTCAGCGCTAGGGTTGCTCGTTTGCTTTGCTCCTATACTGAGGTCACGGGAACACACGCATTGCTGGTCCGTTTGGGACGCTGAGATTGGTTCATGGTATAGCTGTCGGGAGGGGAGAGATCTATCATATTCTTAGTACCAACAAGCAGTCTCACCACCACTTTTGGACAGCGACAAGATGATGGGAAAACATAAAGCACAATCGCCAGCTGTCGTCAGAGGACAAAAAGTGGCAGGGGCAACTTATCGCGGAGAAACCCCGATTTTAGTCACTTTACCCCGCATGTTATCAGCTTATCATAGCACAAGGATCTGGCCTCCAAGATAAGACGATCGTTCTTGGCATGAAGCAAGGAGAATTGATTAGAATCTGTAAGGCTACTAACGATTCTCTACCAGGCTAGCTCCGGTCGGCTCATGCAGCTCGCTTCCAGTTGCGAACAAAACCGTTCCTCTTCCGCTAAGCGATCCGTCTTCATGTCTCCCGTCACTGCCGGCAGCGCTGGCCAGATCTCTCGCCCACCTTGGGCCTCTTCCTTCTGGCGGTGCTCCATTACCATGTCTCTCAGGCTTTGTTGGAAGTGAATGGGACCCTGTGTTGGTGTTGTTAGCCTCAAATTGACTAGTAGGTGCTGTCGATATACTTTTTCCTTGCTCGGGTGGAGCTCGCCGTTGATAAACACCCCGGTAATCAGATTCGTCTGCACACCAACACAGAGCTCTTTGTCCTCCTCCAGAACCTGCCTATAAAATGCATTGATATTATCAAACTCCTCGTCCGTGGCGTCGTGGTGACGATAGACTTCGTTTTCGATCTTGCTCGTGGTCGCGCTCAAGGGAATCATCCGCTGAATATAGAAGAATTTGTCGCTGTGGCAGAAAGGTTAATGACTCGATCCTGCGACCAGGATATTTTCCCGACTGATCAAACTTACGTCACTGTCACCGAGGTGGTGGGAAAAAAATATGTAATGGCGCGCCGAAACTGGGCGTCGACATTGTCCTTGTTGAAGATATGATGCTCCATGTAGGCGGCGGTGGGCTCCACCCGATATCGCGGCAGATCCGAAACCCCGCTGATAAGCGGATGCGATGTCGCACAGTGATAGCACTCGTTGTAATTCTCAATCAGCAGCTTCCAGTTCGCCTCCATCTCCATCTCCCAGTAGTGGTCGAAGGTGTATTCCCCGGCGAAATCAAAATCTTGCATGCGCGGTTGCTCGTCGATCCGCTGGAAATCATCTTGCCACTGGACGTCGGGACTCTCGCCGGCCTGCAGGTTCACCCACACGAAGCCGGCCTGGTCGAGGTGCACGTGGATGGGAAGTAGCCCGTTTTGGCTTTTGTCGAAGTCGGGGACCGTCTCGAAGCGGGGTGCTTTGGAGAGGTTCCCTTTCAGCCCGTAGGACCATCCGTGGTACTTGCAGCTGAGGATGGAGGTGGAGCCGGCCCGAGCCTGCACTATGGGGTATGCGCGGTGGCGGCAGATGTTGTGGAAGCCGTTGATGTTTCCGTCGCGGTCTTTGGTCAGGAAGAAGGAGAATTCAGCAATGGTGAAGGATAGGAAGTCCCCGGGTTTAGCGAGACGGCTGGAGTGAGTAAGTAGGATCCAGCGTTTGGAGAAGATGGCGCGTCGTTCGAGCTCATACATCGCGTCGGAGCGGTACCAGGAGGCCGGAAGCCCCCGAGGCGGAGACTCCTCTGCGGGTCCTTTGGAGGCGCGCCCAAATAATCGCCACATTTTCTGTGTTTTAGGTGCAATTGTGCGTGACTTTCGTGCGTTGCGGTGCTCCTCCTATTCTTATATAGCTCCAGTTCGCAATGGTGGGGGTGTGAGGTCGAGTCAAGAATGGGGGTGCGATACTTCCAGCAGGCATAGCATTGATAAGGAAGTAGCCCTAGCCCACTTTGATCATCATCCTCCATAGATATCAAGATCTATTAGCTATGTATGCTGTGTAATACTATGAGCATTCGGTATATTAAAATATGCCCACTCGCATTCATTATTTGATGGCTATACTGGAAGCTTAATCAGGACCCGAGCGTCTGCTAGACAGCTCTGATAGTACTCACGTAAACGATAGCTACAAAGTCATTGGTACAATTCCAGGTCCTATAGATTTGGATATGGTTCAACCTAAGATCGTCTCAATGCATGTATGAAGAGGAAACAGAAAGGTGGATAAATTGGAACGGAACCTTACTTTGAATTGACAAAAGTAAGATGGTAGATAAGAATTTATCGAAGAAAGGGTAGAATAAATAGTAAGCTCAACGGTCATAAGCTAAACGGCATGTTATCTTGTTTGTATAGAAGCGTTGGCTTCATTGAACAGCTGTGACAATGGGAACACAAAGAGTCCCAAACAATGACAAACCAGCAGTCTTCTGGAAAATATTCCCGTGACACAGCGGGCATCCATGCATCATCGACCCAAGAGTTGTGGATGCCTAACTACGAACACCTCTTCCCCATCCCACCCAGTAGTCCGCTAGATGCCCCCATTCAACGCTCAACTTCCACTGACAAGATGTCCACCACAATCCCAACAATCGATCTCTCCCCTTACCTCACCACATCCGACAGCAATGACCCCAAAAAAGCCACCGTCATCGCTGCGATCCGCGAAGCCTGCAAAACAACCGGCTTCTTCCGCATCACCCACCACGGCGTCTCCCCCCTCCTCCAGTCCGACCTCCTGACCGCCGCAAAGCACTTCTTCGCGCTTCCGCTCGCAACCAAGCGCCGGTACATCGATACGATTGCCCGGAAGGGGTACGAGGAGATTGGCTCTCAGATGCTGCAGCAGGGAACGAGGCCGGACATCAAAGAAGTCTAATCCCTTCGCTCCTCCCTGCCATCGAGCTTTCAGCGGGATCCCCGGCTAAACATGGTTGAATGTAACTAGTGCTACTTTGTCGGCGCGGAACCTGCCATGCCAAAGGAACCGCCCTACCGACCGTTCGAGTATCCTAATATCTGGCCTGACGCGTCCGTCCTCCCGGAAGCGGTCTTCAAGGAGCCGATCTTGAAGTACCATGGGGCTATTTGTGAGCTTGCTCGGACTATCATGGAGATTCTGGTAAAGGGGTTGGAGGATGATTTTCCAGGGCTGCGATCGGAGAAATTGCTGCAAGATTTCTGTCAAGAGCCCTGCGCGAGCTTGAGGCTATTGAGGTATCCGGGGCCATCGGCTGGTGGGAATGGTTCGATGGAGAAGGGCAAGGGTCAGAATATATGGGTGCACAGAGGCGAAATTGTTGCAGGGGCGCATACTGACTTCGGGGGTATCACGCTTTTGCTGCAGGATGGGAATGAGGGACTGCAAGTTTTGAATCGCCAAGGGAGAAACGGGGACCAAGGAAGAGAAGGGGGGCAGGAAGCGGAAGCTTGGGTCGATGTTCCATCCACGCCGGATGCTTATGTTGTGAACATCGGAGACATGTTTGAAAGATGGACCGGGGGCCGGTATCGGAGTACCGTTCACCGGGTGGTGAATGTCTGTGGGAGAGAGAGGTACTCGGTACCGTTTTTCTACGATGGAAATTTGGATTTTACGGTTCGGCCCCTAGACAAGGATGCCTCTTTGAAGGAGGACGGTCGTGAGGTGACGGTCAGAGGGTATTTGATGAAGAAGTTTGAGGAGATCTATCTTTGATGCAAGCAGATACTCAATAGTGGCCATCGAAGACTGAGTCCCGGGGAAAAGCAAATAACGGACAATACACGTGCCATGATGCTCGCCCCGAAACAGCTTAATCAATCAAAAGTGGGGGATTAGAGGCTTTTTATTGAGAGACAGAAAGAGAAGGTTGTTGTTGAATCTTGGCCATAATAGGCGAGATCTACACCCTCTGTACGCTCCATGAGGTGCATTGGGACAATGGGTCACAAACCAACGACTTGTGGAAAACGTGCTAGTATAGCAGATATCTGGGTGTTTATGCCCAGCATCGCCACTTGCTCTCCCAAAGTCTCTCCATTTCTAAATGAAGATCATTGACTTTGATTTCTTCGAACTTTCGCCAAAGCTTGTCTACGCCAGGAACAAAATCCGGGCCCGGCATTAGAATAGCTAACCCTGCGCCACCCAATTCTGTCCTATGAACTTCAAAACCCTCGGAGATCAACTGATCGATCCCCTCCTGCAGACGCACACCGTGTGCTTGTGAACTGAGTAGAGTAAGAGAACATCCCCCGCAACCGGCGCCAGTAAGCTTTGTCCACCCAAGCCTCTGATGCGATAAGACCGTGCGCACTCGCTCAAGGCGAGGGTGAGACGCCCCCAAAGGCTGTAGGAGTTGATGGTTGATTTCAAGGAGGGTTCCCATTTGCTCGATGAAGACTGGATCGGGTTGCTGTTTCGGTGCTGCGACGAGCATCTTGCGGATCAGCTCCGTTGTTAGGTGAATGTAGTCAATTATGCATCCAGCGCCTCGTTGGTGGGACCCGATCCATTGCTGGAAACTCTTGACAGCACTCGCGGTCGATCGCATTTGACAAGTATCAACAACAAGGATCGGAAGTTCCGGAAACTCCGCAATCCGGTCTATCGTGGGTTGGGTGAAGTTGGACAGAGCATCTCGCTGGAAGTACAACGCCCCACCTCGGAGCGAGGTAGCGTGATCCACACCACTGGGCGCTCCATGAAAGCATCGCTCTCCTAGATAGCTTGCTTGATCGATGGCTCTCAGATCTTCTTCTGTGCACAGTTCGTTGTCTCTGGGAATGATGAAGCCCGCCTGAATTAAGATAGCTGTCGCAACCACTACTGAGAAACTTGCACTGCTGCCCAGACCAGCCCCAATAGGAATTTGCGAGCGAAGAGTGTAGGTTGCACCGGTTGTGGTACGGGATGCTAAAGAAAGGTACATGTATAAAAATGCAAGGACGGCGGCGTTGGGATCTCCGAGTTGACGCTGAAGCGCACGAATTACGGAGGCTGGACTATCGGATGACTTCGTAATTCCCCATGGCAAGGTATCCAAGTCCCACGTACAATTGAAGCCAGTGTCGGTCAGTCTTAGCGTGACTCGTCGATCGCTTCTGGGGCGTGGAGTCACTAAGAGATAGGAGCGGAGGCCGATTGCGGCGGCGATAGCGGGTTTACCCCATAAGGCGGAATATTCGCCAGACAAAATGACCTTCCCAGGAGCAGAAACGACAAATGAACTCATGGTTTGAGATCACGGAAGATCCCGATGAGACTTACTTTATGCTAAAATATATATCCCGGATGTTGAGAAATACTGGGAGGGAAGATCCGGTTGTCCCGGATGATCGGCTGGATCATTCCAGCACAAACAAACGCTATGTCTAGCTCTAAGCTATAGAGTGTCAACTCGCATAAAAGATGTCCCTTTCTGGTCGTCGGCACACAGTTGAGATTGATCAATTCTATAGCATTTCTTCTCACTATCACATATTTCAGCCTTTCAAGATGATCATGTCTCCGCTCCTAGGGCTCATATTCTGCTGCTTGGGACAATGGCTCGTCCTACGAACAATTTATCGTCTCTACCTCCACCCCCTTAAGAACATTCCTGGCCCAAAGCTGGCGGCAATCTCACATCTCTATGAATTCTACCACGACATCATCAAGGGCGGACAATTCATTTACGAAATCCAGAGAATGCACAACGAATACGGTACGCACCGATTCCTACTAATAGTATGTGTCGCTAGCCCTGATGCAAGGACCATCTTCAGGACCTATTGTCCGTATCAACCCTCGCGAAGTCCACGTCATTGACCCGGAGTTCTACGACGAGATCTACGCTTCTGGTAGTCGCAAGCGCGACAAGGATCCTCGGTTCGTGCCGACGTTCACCCTGCCAACGTCTATGATTGCGACCGTCGGCCACGATCACCATCGGTTCCGACGTGGGATTCTGGCAAACTACTTCTCCCGCCGGTCCGCTTTGGAGCTCGTTCCTCTGGTTGAGGAAAGAGTTCTCAAGCTCATGGATCGCTTGGACGGCTTCCGTCAGAGCCAGCGCATTGTACGCCTGGATGATGCCTTCGCCGGGTTTGCGGCCGATGTGATCACCTTGCACTCCTACGGTCAGCGATTCGGATTTCTGGAGGATGAGAATTTCCGATGCAACATTCGACAAGCGGTGGGAGAGATCACCGTCCTGAGTCACTACAACCGGTTCTTCCCCAGGGTAGTGCAAGTCATCGATCAGCTGCCCCTCTGGCTTCTGTCATGGCTACAGCCAGGCAAGTCCAGTCTGTATGACCTGCAGCGGACAGTCTATGCGCAGTCGCAGGAGTCGATTGCCAAGCGAGCATCAGGGTCTGAGTTACGCCGATCGGTGTTCACTTCCTTGACCGACCCCAAGGTCCCCCCGCACGAGCGCACACCCCGACGTCTGAAGTACGAGGGATTCTTGGTGCTGGCTGCTGGAACGGAGACCACCGGTCGAGTGCTGACAATCGCGGCGTTCCATCTGGCCCACAACCCGGAGATACGCGATCGCCTTCGCGACGAGCTCAAGCAAGTCATGCCCACGCCGCAGAGCGCGGTGGGATTCCCGGAGCTCGAGAAGCTGGCGTACCTGGTATGTTACACATGAATGATACTGCGGACACATGTATCCCCGGGCCTGACGAGGACCAAAGACGGCAGTGATCAACGAAGCCCTCCGTCTTGCGTCACCTTTGACTATTCGACTCCCTCGCACCGCACCCGATGAGACGCTGAAGTACAAGCATCATGTGATCCCGCCGGGAGTATGTGCATTCTTGATTCTTTCCTCTCTCCTCGCTTGCGCAATTGCCTCGTAGTGGCAGTGGCTCGGCTGACGCAGACACAAACATAGACACCAATGAGCTCTTCCTCGTATCTGATGCATCGTAACGTCACCATCTTCCCTGATCCGGAGAGATTCGACCCGGAGCGCTGGCTGGACGGGTCAGAGCAAGACAGACGACTCACCCGCTATCTCACGCCGTTTACTCGAGGTAGTCGGATGTGCCTTGGTATCAATCTAGCCTATGTGGAACTCTACCTAGCCATTGCTCATCTCGTGCGACGATTCGACTGGGAGCTGCATGAGACGACCCCGGAGGATGTGCGGATCGTGAGCGATTTCATATTAGGGGGCACCAGACGGGGTGATATAAAAGTCGATGCTAAGATCGTAGGCTGCGTTCAGGATTAAGTAGAGTAGTCCGAAGTACTGGTGCTTGGAGTCGATTAAATCACACTGCAAGACCGAATGACATGCTGTCATAACACATAGTGTCCCCACTACAGCTGTATCTTGTGGAGCAACAAACTTATTCATTAAAATATTCCCAGTGCATGATATGAGAACAGGAACATGCTTACATCCTTCATCTATTGTCAATGACTACCCCGACGTAAGCATAGAAATATGCTTTGCTTTTGTTTTTGATTCCTTTTTCTCCTTCAGCCAAAACCAGAATTAAGAAGAACCCTCAAAGGAAGAAGGACAATTCAATTGCGCAACTACCACAATACCAGGCCACATAGTCCACTTTCAACCAGACAACTCCACTTCCATCAGCCGATACCTAGGATCGATATAATGGAACAGCGTCTCTCCGTGAATCCACAGACGGAATACGTCCCGCAGCTGCGGATTCACCTCCAACCTCCTCATCACCGCCTCGTAGCTTGTGAACAGCTCCCAGGTAAACTCCTCCAGCATAGCCAGCGGCGCGATCCCGCGCTTCGCCGCGCCCATGTAGATGAAATTCGCGCGCTCAGGCCCCACGACCGACTCCTTGTAAAAGGAGAGCACGTCGTTGATGCCATGCGCGAGCTGAGCTATCTCAGGCATGACCCCTAACAAGAGCGCCTCGACCGTCTCGACGGGCTGGTCAGGGAAGAGGTGCCTGGCGGGCAGGAAGAGGCCGTACGGCTGCGCGAACCCCGTCATCCACCGGAAGTAGCGGGAGAAGTCGTCAGAGATCCGGTCCGGGTGGTACACGTGGCCGGAGCTTTCGAGCCCCTGTGAGGCAATGGACTCGATTGTGCTGGCGACGAGCAGGTCCATGGTGAAGGTCCCGTAGTGCGGCTCCATCTGGGTGAGGGTTCTGGCGAAGAGCGCCAAGGAAGCTTGCGGCTGGGATTCGCCGCGTAGTAGGCGCGTGCGGAAGAGCTGCACGTCGTGACGCATGTCGAGGATCTGGTCGTCTAGCGAGATGAAGGCGGCTGTATATAGTGCCGTCAGGATCTTGAGGTCCCATGGGTGTAGCGGGTAGAAGGTCAGGGCGACGTTCGTGGCGAACGTGGCGTAGCGGTCTGCCATGGCAGCGTTGTCGTGGGCGATGGATAGACAGTCGGGTAGAATGATTTCCTTCAGCTTCATGAAGTCGGGCTCGAGATTCGTCGAGGAGTCGATTTTAAAGTAGTCCTTCCATCGTTTGGCCAGCTGGGCAAATTCATCATGAGAGACTGATCGATCGAACGCTTGACTAACGGAAGAAGTCATTTTGACAGTTGAAGCGCTGTATGGTGCCTCCAAAAGTAGATTCTACGAAGCTTGGATGTATTATGTGTTAGGGTGTGGAAAGTGATTCAATTAGCTACATGAGGCTATCTGGGCAAAACAATCAACATTGGCATTGCGGGCGGTGAGCAGCCTGGCGATTGAGGCTTCGGGGCCACCAACAGCATGCAGTGAGTGCATTACAGTATATGCACATACTATGTGTTCTTGTGTTGAGGACTGACACCAGAGAGCCATTGTAGGGTTAAGCGTGGCCACCGTGCCGGTCTCCGGGGACATGTTACGTGCATGGAGTGCGTGTCTCCCGGGTGTGAGGAAAGCCCCACCATGTCATATGTAGTACAAAATCAGTCAGCTTGCTATGCTTTTTTGAGGAAAGAGATCGATCTCTCCAAGGGCGTCAAACCCCAGATCCTGCAGACTCATGTGATCAAACGATTCCGGCAGCCAAGGTGGCTCTACGTTTAGCAGAGTGCTGATCCCCAGCTCCGTAGCCGCCCAGTCGGTCTCTGCGGAGACATCGCTGAGTACGACGTCAGCAGCCAGCGCAGCAGCCGACTCGGTGTGGCCGATCTCCACAATATCCAGAGCTTCATGAAACTCCAAGACAAGCCTCTCGCGAAATTTATCCACAACGCTCGTTGCGGCTGCTGTGTCCTAGTCGGAGAGGATCATCTGGACCTTGCGGTCGCTCCAGGCGCGGCGGCCCGCGAGGGCTTCGCCGATTGCGGAGATGATGTCGACGCTGCATTCGTCTGTCCCTGGAGCATCCGAAGGCTGAGCTAAGGCTGACGTGGAGAGCTGATGACTCCACCTTGTTGTATTTCCTCGAAGGTCCTCCGCATCCTGGGACAGGTTCACTAACGCGTGAGATGCGAAGGTTTGTGGGAAGCGAAGCAGATGCGGCATGGTGAGGAGCAGATGCCCCGGTCGCATTCGGATGGAGCTCGGTTTGCCTATCTCTATCACACCTGCTGGTGGGTACTCGTTCTTGTGAGAAGGAGGGGCGAACATGGTGTGGGAGTCCGGCACGAGATTTACGCAGTGTTCCTCGCAGAAGGTAGGGAGCATTCCTGTACTTTGAACATCACTTTCCCGATCTTATCCCCCGTTCTCTCTCGAGTCCCCAACCTGCTCTCCCTTCTGTCAACTCTCTCTAATCAAGGCCCTACAAGATATACCGAAAACTCCGATTCTGAATATCCGTCTCATCCACCATCTCCAACCCATCATCCTCCCCGAGCACGACCCGTCGCACCTCCTCCGCCCTCACATGCACCCCTTGCTCGCGATCCCGCTTCCGATTCTCCCACGCCAGATACACCCTCAGCACCCCGGCCAACCCAATCGTAATCACGAAGCAGATGAGGATCGTCGTATACGCCGTCTGGTGCCCACCACACGGATTAGCAACTAACACCATACCCACCCAACCTCCCTTCTCTCATCCAACCACCGCAGAAGACCAGTATTGGGGAAACTTACATGATACCCCGGCGCCTCCGCACTGATAAAAAACTGCGGCCCGACCATGTTCCCCACACAGTAGCCGACAAAGATCATCGCCAGCACCGTCGACTTCTTGGTGAATCCCGCCGTGTTCGAGGCGAAGAGACTCAACATCAAGGGGAACGAGGGGGCGATCGCGGTCACGAGCCAGAACCCCGCTAGCCGGGCGAGTTTGCGGTGCTCCGGGAGGAGCTTGACCATCAGGATCCCCGCCAGCGCCATCAGGTATACGCCGACCAGGGCGAAGAGGCGGGATTTCCGGATGGTGGAGGTGATCACGGCGACGAGAATGACGGTCGTCAGTTGGAAGGCGGAGGCGGGGAGGCCCATGAGGATGGTTTGGGATTCTGAGTAGCCGAAGCCGTTGATTATAAGAGTTGAGAACTGTTTTTTTTACCCCCAGGGGGGAGAAAAGGTTAGTCTTTGGGTGGAGGGTGGTGGGTTTGGGGTAACAGTGAGGGTAGGGAGGGAGGTACGCTTGTAGTTCCGCCGTTGGGGACGCAGGTTACGAAGCTGAAAATCAGGAACCACCAGGATTTTGGATCTGTCAGAGTCTCCAGCAGTTGTTTCTTGTCGAGGTGCTTGGTTTGCGTTGTGCGTTGGAATTTCTTGGGGCGTAGAGAGGCGAATTCGCGTTCCGTGGCGGTCAAAAAGCGCGCGGTGTCTGGGCTGTCTGGCAGATAGAACCAGAGGATGATAGACCAGACGATGGTGATCAGGCCGAAGATCAAGAAGAGCATCTACTCGAGCTCTGGAGGTCAGTATCTTGCAAAGTGCTATGGGGAAAGACAGGCAGACCTTCCACTTGGCGAAATCACCGGTATAGTGCAGGATTCCATAAGCGATCATGCTCCCGATGATGCTGGCCGTTGCATTGCCGGCGAACCAGAATGAGTGACGCGACATGTGCTCGGGGGGCGTGTACCACATCCCCGTAATCAAAGAAAAGCCTGGGCTGATGGCACTCTCAAAGATTCCCAAGAATGTGCGGAGGACCATGAGCCCGGCGTAATTTTGGGCGCAGGCGTGAAGAGTGAGGACAATACCCCAGCAAAAGCTACCGCTGGGTTAGAGGCAATTCTAGGCGGTAATGGGTTTGTTGGGGAGGGGAGCATACATCAGGATGCTGAGGTATTTTCCAAGGGGAAATTTGACGAATCCCAGTGAAATCGGGTATGATGCGACGAGATATCCAATGTAAAAGATACTGGACGTCCAGCTGTATTCTTGCCCAACGAGGTGCTGAGACAGTCAGCTATCAATTCGCACCACATTTATCGCCACACGTACTAAATCGCTCTTGAGTCCCAGAATGGCACTATATGACAAGCTTGTTTCTGTCCAGTATCAGCTTCGACAGTCCTTCCACTGCGGGTTAGGTTCGGGATGACTCACTATCTAAGTATTGAAGGCCATAACTTATGATTAGAAGCGGCATGAGGCTAGCATCATTAGCTTGTGAATGGAACTCATACTCCGGCCCAGTACATACTGCAAATCTATCTTGCGCACCAATCTCTTCTCTTCTGCCGGCCCAAGTGTCTCTGCGGCGCCGTAGGCCTTGCCTTCGGCCACGTCTGCTGCATCGGGCACGGTTTGGTCGTCAAGTTTCGACAACTGGATCTTGTCTCCCATTGCTGGATACAAGCAGAAGGGTGTAAAATGAGGCCAATTCTTCGATGCAACTGAAACCCGGAAATGCCCTCGTGGATGAATTGATGATCATTGATATACGAGGAAGGAGGGTGGCCAAGCCAGAGTCGACACTAGTATGGGTTTTCCCCACAAAGATAGCAGGCGATAAATCAAGGGGTGAAGTGTCTTTGACATCAGTGTTATTGACGTGGAGTCATTGTGGCGTGTAAATATGGTTGGTCAGATTAATCGACGGGCTGCAGCCGATCTCGGCGGGGCGTGAGCAGTTTCCACGCGAGGAATAGGAGGCGACCCCGGATTCTAGAGACGCACGAATCACCATCCAGCATATCGAAGGGTTACTGAGATCTTTCAATTAAAAGCAGAAGCGTCTACTGGCAGACGAATGACACGATGCATATCAGTCCCCCGTTTCCCCGCAACAAATCAACTGCCGAACAAAAGCCATGGGGATGCATCCGCCAGATCGTCGTTTTGCCGCCAAGATGAAAGAAAAGGCTTCCCGAATGGCTACATCGGAGATGTTCCGATCCACCCACTCCCAATGTACCGGATCCTGTGTCTCAATCCCCAGGACCAATAAAGACCACTGAAATCGTTCCATGAGCTGCACATGATTTCCTCGAGATATAGTATAGTGCAAGGTCGTAACAAGATCACTCATTGCGGACTGGACCTCGATTGGGATCGGCTTGCTTCCCCATGCAGAAGCGCGGCTACGGGTGAGGTAGATACAAAGGGCATGGAAATGCGTGACTGTGACCATGGCCATCAGGGAGGGGTCGTTTCCATTAATTACGATGTCAAAGAGAGAAGCATGCTCCTACATGATCATTTAGTGACATATCAGCAGTATCTGCGCGGGTCTAGGAGCATACCTGGCGAATCTGATCCAGACGGCGCTGAATTTGACCCTGGACGGCAAGATCTGGCGTGTCACTTTGGCTATAGCGATTGATCTCGTGATGAAGCCCAATCATTTCGAAGTAAACATGTAACGTGGCTGCCTCGTCGACTTCATGGAATGATGCCTCTGGGTTTGGAGATGATAACGGGTCCCGAGCATTGTTCCACAGAAAGGCTGTGCGTGACAGGCGCCAGATTTTACGTAGCTGGTCTTGATAGGCGTTCATGTATGAGGCCAACAGGCCCCCGCATCCGAAGAAGCTGCAGAATCCATCTCTGTCGTAGAGGTAGACGAGGACGCGGGATAGCAGGACTTTGTATGGCACCGCGTTTGTGCTGGGCTCTGTTAGCGAGTGTATCTCGTCGCTGGCGCAGGCCTGAAGTAGATCAAATTCTCGAATGTATGCAAGCACAGTAGCGCTTAAAGCCCGGAGCTTCGATGGTGAAATCCGTTCTCTTCGCATCCAAAACATGAAGATATACAGAAATGAAAGCAGCAGCTCTAGATGATCAGTGGGTGCGACGGGGTTGCGTGCCTGGATAAGTAGCTCAGACCCTCGTTGCAAATGAATACATGACTCCGGTGTCGGACGGGCTCCGTAACCAAAATGAATCGCGAGCTCGCTGTGAGAGAGGGCGAGTAGAAAATGAAAGGCCATTTTTTTGTCCCACGCATGGTCGAGGAATAGCGAATGTGCTGATAAGGAGGGTGAACGAGAGGATTTCAGGGATGCGAAGACACTTCGATGAAAGGATACAGCCTCTGTGTCGCTGCTGCCGATAGACGGGCCGGTAAAAGGGTCGGCCAGAAGGAGAGGTGTGGCTGCAATTAGCCAGCTGGGCACGCTTGAGCTCGATGATTCGATAGAAGACAGGCCGTGTCGGGAAGATATTGATAATGGTGAGTCTGGCCCGCAATTGTCCAGTGAATCAAATCGCAAGTCACTGATAGCTTGAGGAAATGGGTAGATAGAAAGTCTCTCTTGATTCTGACTGCTGCCCACGAAGGAGTCTGATGCATATATTGAGGATCCAATTGCCGATGCTGTCAAAGCTAGTGATTCTGTATTGGTGACTGGTGATGACGGAGGGCGTTCTTGAGATGAAGCAGATGCCGAATTCGAGTGCTCCGTCGATAATTGCTTACGAGTATCAGTAATTCTCTGATTTGGTTCATTGCTCTGTCGTGGTTGAATCGAAGAAGGTGTCCAGCAACCACTGTCGCGACGTTTGATCGGACCTAGCCCCCTCCTTCTCGCTGCCAGGGGCTGCTTTCCCCGTCCCCATTCGCATGTCAGACCAAGTCGAACGCACCGTTTACAGTGCGGATGTTGTTCATCGCACTTGACGCGTTTGCCAAGACAAGTCTGACATCCTAATATGCGATTGTCCGCGTGAGTCCTGCATTGTGCCGCGCGACCTTGATGCCAACTCACCATTCCGTGACCGGCCTCTCTCTACTCGTGGGCGACGCTGCCGTGCAGGCTCAACAGACTGCTCCATGGCGCACGTTGGTCTGAAGCAATGCGATAAGGTACGATGGCTGTCGATTATTTGAAGTGCGAGAAAGAGGGCGTCTCTATCAGCTGCTGAGTTGTTGAATGCCGAGCCCGCTATCGCGCTCGATTAATCTGGCCAATCATCGCTCTCCCCTTCGGCACTTCTAGAACGGGCTAGCGTCAAGTATGTTCTGCCACCGCCTTTCCTGCACAGAGAATTTGCTGCCTCAGGCGTTACGGCAAAGGATTATTTGCTGTAAAAGAAATGGCAAACAGAGAGCTGCTTTCCAGTCTCGCTATTATTCTAACCACAAAGTGCGATATCTAGGTACACTATCAGATAGACCAGGTAGAAGCTGCTTATGGGTATCTTCACAGTCTCAGCACTTCCGACTGCACATTTACCTGGCTACCTCTTAGTCAGACATGTCACAAACGAGCGCTGGTGGTTATATAAAAAGATTGCGTCGAAAACCCCTCAGTAGAAATATTGATCAAGCAGCATGGGCGCAATCTTCGAACCAGGCAGTATACATCTCTGCTGGTGCACAAATTGTTGCTGTTTGCAGGATAGGTGGCGTCTTGACAGGCAACCCTCCTACAAGTATCCAAACGCCTATCACCTACTGAGGTCGCTTCTTATTCATCCTATTCATCTTCTTCCTTCAAGCTCAGACTGACTACCATCACTCTCAAATCTTTCGTTTTCCATCATAGCAACCCTCAACATGACCAGTGTACACAATAGCCAGAGATGTCCCATCGTCGGTCTCTACGGTATCCCCGGATGTGGGAAGTCCCACCTTCTCAGCAAACTCAAAACGCAGCTTGGTGAAGAGAAGTACGTCTACCACGAAGAATCCAAAGTGATTGGCACTGTTCCTGCCGGTGACTTGGCCGGCTTCCGGGCGTATCGTGAACAGGCCATCCGCAATATCCGAAAGAACCCGAAACACGGCTGTGTCACCGTCGTCACAGGCCATTTCATGTTCTGGGAGCCGACCCAGCCGATGGGAAAGATCGTATGTACCAACGAAGATATTGCAACATACACTCACATCTTCTACTTGGACGTGGCTCCTGAAGTGGTCTAGGGCTTTTGGGAACAGGATACAGCCAGAAAGGGTCCCTGTCCCCCAGTCGACCACATTCGAGCATGGCAGAAAGTTGAGAAAGCTGAATTGCGGAGACTCTGCCACGAGCACCGAATTATCTTTTCGCTTCTAGGCGCCCATCAAGATGCTGCGAATCTTATTGGAAGTGTTTGGCACCACGACGAAGATTCCAATCTCCGGCTTGCTAAGCATCATCTCAGGGAGGCACTCGGTGGCAACTTGTCTGGGAAGACTGTTTTGATGCTAGACGCGGACAAAACTCTGTGTTCCCAGAATACTGGGGAGCTTTGGTGGAGGATGTACCGGCAGCATTATCCTTCTGATGAGTCTGATGAGTCTAACGAATCTGATGACTCTGATAAATCTGATGTGTCAGATGAATCGGATGGATCTGATGGTCGTGAATGCCCCTTGAGGCGGCTGTTTAACGGTCCGCTTGGGTACAGCTATGCTGCCTTTCGCCAAGCTGTTTTCCTATACGAAGAGGCTGCTGATGATCAGAAGTTCGATGAGATCTGTGAAGGGGTTGCTTCGAACGTGAATGTGCATCCTGAATTCATCAACCTCCTGTGGCATGTTTTTGACGACACTTGCGTCAAAGCAGTGGTGGTTACCTCAGGCATACGGCTAGTCTGGGAAAAAGTCCTGACACGAGAAGGTTTATCCGACAATATAAAGGTTGTTGGTGGAGGGCGCATTAAAGACACGTTTGTCGTCACTCCAACGGTCAAAGGTGCTCTGGTCGACTACCTGCGGAAAACCTTGGAGGCGAAAGTGTGGGCCTTTGGTGCTAGTCGCATGGATTTGGGGATGTTGCGAAACGCTGACCAGGCGTTCGTCGTCGTTGGCGAAGAGGCTAATCGAAGCACAACCATGGATGAGGCCTTGATGGATGAATTCACTAATGATAAATTTCAGCCAAAACAGGTCTTGCTGCCTGTTACTTCATCACCGCGACTAGACACAAAAGTGCTACCGATCACGACTCTCGACAGACAAATGTTTCTAGACCTGCTCTTTCGTGGCTCGAAAAGAGTCACGGTCAGCGAAGCAACCGATACGGATGCCTCCCGAGTTCTTACCACTCCCACGAGGAACCCCTCGATATCGGGACCCGCGCTCCAAAACGCCCATCGCGACGCTGGAAGGTACCTCGCGCTTGCATACTTGCCGAACGTCGTTGGTATCGAAGATTACTCTATTCTCCATGTGCAAGGCCATCAGGTCACCGGCTATCGACTCCAAGGCCAGCATCATACATCCATCATTGCCTTAATGCGAGGTGGGGAGCCTCTGGCTCGTGGGATTTATGACTACCTGCCTGGAGCTGCTTTTATCCACGCGAAGGTACCAGACGATGTTTGCCACGGCCACTTGCAGAATCAGAAGACGGTCATTCTGGCAGACTGGGTCATCGACAGCGGGCAGACAGTGGCTAAGTTTCTCCGTCATATTCGGAAGCTGACTCCTGATGTGGGCATCATCGTGGTTGCTGGCGTGGTGCAGGGCCGATCAATCGCCAAGCTTAGTCCTCTTCAGGCGCTGGTACGCTATGGAGATCTTACGATAGCGCTTCGCAAGTCTGATAATGAATACAAAAGTGAAGGGGAAACAGAAACTGGCAATCGTCTATACAATACGTTGCATCTGCCTTGACGAGCATCAGATGGTAAGCCCCAATTTCTTTCCTGGCATCTCAGGTAGTTAAATGAATGGTTGATTTGATCTAAGTATTTCTCTTCCAAGTATTCTCTCGAACTCCCCCGACCCATTCTTCTGGTCGCTCTGTAGTGGTGAACCCGTTATGTTGTTTGTGTCGAGCGTAAGAACAGAACAATCGTGCGTTAAGTTATATGTTCTTGTCTTTCTGCCCCGGTAATGCTTCGAGAGTCGTACTAAGTTTTAGTCCCATTTTAACAGGTACCTTGCCAAGTCATATAACCACTGTTGCAGATTCTTTAGTCATTCTGGGGGTTCCTTTCTTGCCTACGTCCTAGCTTCTGTTTGAACTGCATCTAAGAGGACTTTCTCACTTCTAGAACAAACAGAAGGCGCTTAAGGCTGATGCTAGTGTTTGGCATGAGGCTCTGGCATTGAGGGTTGAAGATGTCGTCATGGCTGGTTGATGGTGGTGATGTCTGATCTCAGCGGAGGACTTGACATTACAGTCGACTGCGCATCGTTCCTGGCAATACCCTCATCTTTGACTATTTTATATTATCAATCAAAATGTTCGATAATCACACTGATTGACTTACTTAGAACCCGTATAGGGTTCGTATCCTTGTATCACCCTCCTCACGCTCAGTCGACATGTTGGCTTGGTCGTGCGGGATCCGACGAAGCAATTGGGCATCGGCGGCGTTCTTATCATCCTTGTTTCTATCTTCTTTCGTACATGACGGTTAATCCTTCCTCACCTAGGCCAGAGACTACTCCTCTCAATTGTTTTGTTATTGTCGGAGACTTCGTGTCCGGCGGTTAACTTGAAGTATGGCGGGCCGATATGAAGAACTCTGGCCTTGTCTTTGTCAATCCTATCAACCTGCTCACGCATCATCTTTCGTGTCTCAAGCGGACGCCCATTGGGCTTATCAATGACGTCTATGGACAGTACCTTTCAGCCTTGCAAGGTTGGGTAAAAGGTTCATTCAGTGGCTTTAACTCCTGCTTCCGTAACGGGTAGGGGTGATGTCGAACGATCCTTTCGTGTGTCTAGATTGAAATACAGAAATGTTTGTTGGTTTGCTGAATTTTTGGCTGGTGGTAGCCGCCTGATGCTATTCCAGTCGGAAGACACGCAATGGCAATATGCAAGATTTCTTGCTTTGTATCGAAGAAGTAAATTGATTCGTTGTGGTATGAACCTAAATTTATGCCCTCCCCGCTGTATATTCTGATGCCTGATAATATGCTTTGTGCTTTGAGTACAGATGAAACAGAGGGTATAAGATAATGAAGACACAATGATAAGCATGAACCTTATTTCTCGATCATATCGAATTACTCAATGTCCTCTGCTTACCTGACAGGCACTCCGTCCGAATGGAAAATCATGCTGAGGGGTGTCAACGGCCGGATGAAGCGCTTCTTGGTCAGAGTTGGAGGGTATCCTGCCTGCCACCCGCGCCCCGGCCCACTTTTCAGTGGAGCCAGCGCGACAAGCGTCCCGTGAAGCTGATCCTTCGCGTGGGGGCCAGAAATACCGCCTCGGCCAATTGGACTTTTAAATCAAGAGCCATAGTGGATCCTCCACTGGCGATCATGGTAGTTCTGCGGACTGGGATTGTGTCTGAGGGTGATGCGCGGTCGGCGGCATTGACCCTTCATATTTTGCCGTTGGCATAGTTTGATGCGAGGGATAGGGAGTGGGGTTGTAGGGTGCATGGTGAGGATAATGGTGGTATGAACCAGAGCCAGGGTTGTAGTTCATGCGGTGGTCGTATGCATAATGTGATTGTTGGTATTGTTGGGGGTGGTGGTCGGGGTGATGATGATGGCATTGGCATTGGTGCGCTTGAGTTTGTTGCTTCTTTTCTTGAAAATCATTCGCAGCTCTACACAGTAGAGTCAATTAGCATTTTGTCCTACTAGGGGTCGAGCTAGCTGAAGTGTACGGCACGTACTTTGAGGAGACTTTGAGGAGGCCGTAAGCTCCGGCGAGTTGGATTCCAGTCTTGATGAGGCCCATTTTGATTGTCAGCAGATACGGCTGAAGTTAATGGGAGAGATGAAAGACAACTGATTTCATGTTTGAATCAATAGAGATCAATCGCAACTTTATACTGCCCTCCCTGTGACGATCACCTCTAAGCGCTACGTCTTGCACACCGCGGGGCAACCCACTCTAGGCCACGCTAACCCTAAGTTGACGAACCAACCGAGCCCGTGTCAACTCCGCCACAATATCAGACGACAATCAGTTTGAGGTCAAGCATCAGAACAATCCGTGCGCTGGGTAGACTGGCCAAGCTAGGATGGCAATCTCAGCCAAGCAACCCCTGACCGGCTTGCACCAACTCTTTCCCTTTGTGCAGCATCAATCCGAGCCCGTCTCGCCCAGACTCCTCGCTCAATCCTCCCCCACTATGTCTCCAAGACTCAACCACCGTAAATCTGTAAGAGGCTGTCGTAACTGCAAGAGACGTAAGGTGAAGGTCTGCACTGGTCCATGGCCCACTATACCCAGCCCAATTGCCCCCCCAGGAGCTAATTCAACACATCCACAGTGCGACGAAAAGCAACCCGAATGTAGCGCCTGTATCCGTCACTTCGTGGTCTGCGAATATCCTGACCTCCAAACCATATTCCACAGCTATGAGGCCCCAAGACAGCAAAGACGGTCATCGTCGCGACCAGCCCCCCTTAGACGGAGCCTTCCCTCCCCCGAAAGAGCCAACCTCAACCCCACCGACCTCCAACTAATACACCACTACGTCACCGCCACCGCCCACACGATGGGCCACGCGCAGCTGCCCCCCGTCCTAGCCATGTGGCAGCTAGCCGTCCCCGAGATGGCCTTCGAGTACCCGCCGCTGCTGCACACCGTCCTCGCCGTCGCGGCCACCCACCGCGCCGCTTTACTTCCCGACGCCGCCGATGCTGCCACGAGGCGTCTCCGCGCCGCGCACCACCTCCACATCGACCGGGCCCTGAAGCACCACCGGGCGGAGACGGCCCGAGTCAATCGTCCGGGTACAGTCGTCTCCGAAGCGTTGTGCATGAACACGATCCTGATCTGCCTGTACGCGCTGACGCTCCGAGGCTGCGCAAGTGGACCTACTAGTCCATGCACCACCTACGAGCCCCCGCTGTTATGGCTGCACATGTCCCGGGGCATCCGGCTGATGATCGGCCGGGCGTACCACGGTCTCGTCGGGGCCAAGGCGCGGATCGTGCCGTTGTTGATGGCCAAGCCCTTGGTGCACGGGGGCGCCGCTACGGCTGCCATCACCTCGCGAGGCGCTGCGATCACCGTCCCCACGTTCGCGAGTCGCACAAGCAACAACAACAACAACAACAACAATGCCAAGGGGATATCTAATGCCAACAGCAGCAGCACCGAAATTCGACCCCTCCAATTTCTCCTAAACTGCAACCCTGACGAGGAAGGCGAAACGCCGCAGATCCGCGCCGTCTACGACGAATGCGTCAAATACCTCGAGGGGATGTACGTCGCGGTTGTGGACCGCGGGGAGGCGGGCTTCGATCTTCGGAAGCGCTTCTCCTCGTTTGGGCCGATGACCCCCGCCCCGTTTGTTGGGCTCGTGGCGGACCGCAGGCCCCGCGCGTTGGTTATGCTTGCCTATCTTTTTGCGTTGGCCAAGGGGGCGGAGGAGGTGTGGTGGTTGAAGGGGATTCCGGAGCGGGAGGTTAGGGGGATATATGGTGTTTTGCCGGTGAGGTGGAAGGGGGCAATGCGGTGGGCGGTGGAGTACGTTACTGGGGGTGGTTCGTGGGGTCTTGGGGAGGAGGGGGCGAGAGGGGCTGTGGTTGGGTAGGTTTTTGCTTTTTGGTAGGGCTTGTAACGAAAGATGGGATCGAGGTGAGCAGGGGTATTAAGGTTTCATTAAGATATGTGAATCATACTGCTGAGGATCGATGTGGTGCCGTAGCATTATATGATGGGAAGTATGGGATAGTGCACAGGGGTAGTATCCTATAGGCACTTGAAGTGAACGTGGTTCAAGGCAAGGTGTCAATGCATGCAGACATCACAGCTTACAGTGCAAGAAGCAATCCAACACCCGCCAGACCCGACAGAAGTCGGCCCGAGTTGCTCGTAGGGAGAGCGACCGCCCCCGCCTCGGACGAGGTGCTCTCAACGGAGGCTGCAGTGCCCGTGGCGGTAGGCTGGCTGCCACCCTCGGTGAGGGTCACGGTGCCAGAGACCATAACCGTGGGCCCGGACACAGCACCCGTTCCGGTGGCTTCCACCCCGTTACCCGTCGCCGACGAAACAGCCGACGGCATGAGCGTAGCTCCCGGCACGGCGTTGGTCCCCGTTCCGATCTCAAGGATATCGTCCTTACCGGGCGAGAAGTTGGTGTTAGCCACCGAGATCTCATTGTTGGCAAGGTCATAGACCACGTAGGCGCTACGGAGGAAGGTGTCGCCCAGGAGATTCATGCCAGGCTGACTGGGCACAATTCCTAGGATACAGTCCCCCTGCGCAAAGTCGGGCTCGGTATAGGGTAGCACCAATTGGCTGATGGGGACGGTGACAGTGGCGCCGGAGAATCCGAAGGTCACGTTATAGTCCTTCTCCATAGCGCTGCAGGCGATGTAAGCGGCTTGGCTCTTGGTGGAGTAGCCCGCGTCGAGCTCCTTGTAGATCTCGTTGACGAGGTCCTCCGGCAGCGCGGTCATGCTCGTGCCGGTGTCGAGGCTGCAGGACAGGGGCAGGCTGGTGGTGTACTTCTTGGAGCTGGAGCCACTCTTCTCCACGGACACTTCGGTCAGGGCGATAGCCAGGGACACGTACTGGCCGTCGCGAGGCACAATCGGCACCGTTTGCAGCTCGCCGAGGTACTTGGCCTTATTCACGCCGCCAAAGAGAATAGAGCCCGTCGTTGCGTCCTCGCCGTCGAGCCACACGCTGTAGGCGGGCGACTTGATAGCGCCACTGTCGACCAGCGCCTGGGGCAGATTGGAGTACACTTTGCCATCGTACTCTTCTTGGTAAGTCGCGCGCGCATATCCAACGCCCGCGATGCCCTCTGTTGGTGGAAATCGGGCGTGTCAGTATGAAACTTTTTTTTTCTCTATTTCCGCGCTTGCGTGCGAACAACAAGGATAGACTTACGGGCACTGCTCGACTTCTCAGCGACAGCAAACTGCATCGACTTGATTGTAGTCCCCCCAATCGTGACATTGTCGGTTGCGTAGTTACCGTAGGAATTCGTCCCGTCTCCGTAGGTGTCGTTCATAAAAGTGGCGAGTTTCTTGTAACTTGACGAGGCGCCGGAGTCGTATGTCCCGTAAGGCTTGCAGGGGTTGCTCTTGGCCGAACACTCGTCCGAGTCTGGGGAATTCACCCAGGTGTCGCTGCTACCGGTGTCCAGAGACAAGACCACCTTCTGTGGAGGTGTCCCGATAGTCAGGTTGAGGGTATAGTAAGTGTCGCCCTACACGTGGCTGGTCAGTTGTCCGCATGATCTGTGTGTCTACTTCGCTGAACGTGCGGCTGGCCAGCGTACATGATTATCAAGCGTTACGTCCACAGTAGAGTCCCTCTTCTGGCTTGGCTGAGTAGCTGGTTTGCGCTCAATGGGGATATGGACGGTAGCAGGCACATCACGGCGGTGCAGCTGAAGCGCATCCACGTAGGGGGCGGCGGCTAGCCCGAGGACGGGGAGGAGATAAGCACCGCGCATATTGACTAGTCGCAGCAACCGCGCAAAGGGTAATATCTGACTGATAGTGAGAAAGACAAAGTAAAAGAAGAAAAATCTCAAGTTACTTATGCAGGTGGGAGCAGGCAGCCTTTATGACCACCATCCCACTCTAATTAGGTTCCCTCATCAGGGTTCCGGATAACCGGTGATTCAATAGTCAACGGGCTTAGAACCACATCGAGGCTCCAAGCCACCACTCAGCTTCGTCGGGTACAGCCGGACCCAGTGCCAATCCAGGCTTGTCAGGGGTGCTTAGGCCGAAAGTGTGCAAGGTCCGAGGGTCAGCGAATCACCGATCAGGGTCTTATGGCCGAGCTACAAGCGAAGGAGGGTAAGCCAGCTTAGCGTGAGTTCTTTCATCTCCGGCACCCACGTTATGTGGTCTGTTGGCTGTGTGAGTGTGGAGCACGTCGCTGTTAGCGTCAGGGGACCTGAAGGCGTGGGAATGTCTGTTTGGTCCGAATCTCAATAGTTCGATGTCTGCGGGTCTAATTGGATGGATGAATTCATTTCCCGCCGGCGTGAACTCGTGATGGACGAGTTTAGGAGGCCCGAGTCCGGGAGATGTTGTGACTCGGAGAATAAATGGTTGTCAGATCTTGGTGGGACCGTGGCCGCTGATCTGGGGTACGACGAGCAATGCGCTGCAATCATGGTGATCCCCGGAACCTTGAGAAAAAATACAGATCGGCCGACAGACACCATCATTCATCAGAGGCCCGTAATTTCTCGATTTGGTGGGTCGGAGATGAGCCCGGCGGGCGGGCCCGGGATTCCCCAACTAGGCAATAGATATCAGAGTCAGGAACCAGTGGAACCATCCACCAGAGCCCTGAATGCTTAGGCTGAGGGCCGGGAAAAGGAGCGGAAAGAAAAGGGCAAAAAAGGATGGAGCTGCGGGGAATCGAACCCCGGACCTCTCCCATGCTAAGGGAATATTATACCACTAAACCACAGCCCCAATTGATGTTAGACGATTGATAAGATGATTATAGCATCCTAGCTAGTGCATGCTCTCGCCCTCTACCTGCATTTGGGGGTCTCTTGCTACCCCCATTGTAGCATTTGTGGCTACTTATTGTACCCAGCGCAAGCTTATATGATACCTCTTGGTTATAAGTAATGACTGTAAACAATTTCAGGTGTCCAATGATACCGTCATATGAGTTCGATTTTTCGTTTACATATATCGCCCCTGGAGTTGCCGCTACTATGTCAAACCTGGCACACACTGTTAGTGAGGCATGTAAACCCAATTGGAAGGGTATCGTGGAAAGAAAAGGAAGAGAAATTAGTACTGAACATACAATGAACTGGTTTTCGCTCCTGAATTCTTCAAAACTGGGGGAGTTCGGATCTAATTTCCACCAACCCTCACAGTCGCGAATCCCTGACACCCACCGTCGCAGCATGGGGAATCGAAGGAACGCCCCAATGCAGATTAACCTAGGTACCAAACGTCAACGTTAATTTCAGTTTCAATGCCTAGTATCGAGATCTCACCTCTACCACATGATCCCAGCCAAACAATTCAGGTGCAATGGCCGGATCCCGCCAGACCAATGCTTCTCCTGGCGGTGTCGGAACCATCTGCATCTCTCTGTCACGTAACTCTTGCTCCGGTCCATCGGGCAGATGCTCGAGATCTTTTTGCTCGTTTGATCGAGTAACAACCATCAACGTTCGCCGTTTGCGACACTTTTCAAACACCGCAAGAGCATGTCGCTTGGCGAAGAGATACTCGCGCGACGACTTGGTGGTGTGTGCATCGTTTGGTAGACGAGAGAGACATTCACCGAGGACTGCACCGTCTTCGAGGGCCATGCCCGCCCTGTGTGGTCTATTTCAGCTCGACTTCCCAGTCAAAGGATATATAGTACCTACCCTGCTGCAAGATAAGGAAGGGTGGCGTGAACACTGTCCCCAATCATCACGCCAGCTCCGGATGGATGTGACCAGCCTCCGGTGTTGAACCGGGTACATAGTCGCCACTTGTGAACTGATTTACACAGCTTGAGCAGCTTCGCGATACTACTCCACATTCAGCAATTGCCGTCTTGGGTAAGTCGCGGTTGATCCGACTTACCGAGGATCCCAATCTCGAAATAGCGAGCGCATCTCCTCCACATTTCCCGCCACGGTACTCGCCTTCGAATCCTCCGGGATATCATCAGGAGTAAGAAGGACGATGTTGAAGAGCTCCTTACTCAGCGGATAAGCCACTGCTCACGCAATCAATCACCATCGCATTTAATGTCCAGTCTTGCAAAACGACGTACCCACATGCTTTTCCGGCCCATACCAGAAATTCATATTTGGGTGCGTGACAAACTCCGCCAGCTCGGGATCCTTCACGATATCCGGTGACGCCAGCATCACCCGGTAAGCCAGATCCCCCGTCTTGGTCGGTGGCGTCGGATGCTCCAGCACCTGATCAGCCAGTTTCCCAAAAATGCCATCCGCCCCGATGAACAGGTCCGCCGTCCACCGTCGGCCATCTTCGGTGGCAATCGTGGCCGTCCCTCCCTCGGCCCCATCGAACGCGACATCCACAATCTTCGCATTGCAGATAATCTTCCCTCCCAGCTCGGCGATCCGCTCCAGCAACGTCCGCTGCAGATAGGGTCGGTAGAAGGCCCGGAACCAGGTGCCTGGGTATGCGCTCGCGGCCTGCGCCACGTTCATGCTCGTGATCGGATTCCCTTTCCAGCCGAAGACGCGGTAGGCATTTGCCACAGCCCAGTGTTTGCTGAGCCGCTCCTCCAGGCCCCAGTGCTTCAGCACCCGCGAGCCGTTGGGAAGCACCTGGATGCCGGCGCCGACATGTTTGATCTCGGAGGTGGCCTCGAGGATGTGTACATTGTGGCCCGCGAGCAGGCTGCTGATGGCTGTGCCTAGGCCGGCTATGCCGGCGCCGGCGATGATGATCTGGGTTTCTCATGGACTTAGTGGATATAATCGTGTAGGGGCGCGTTGGTGACTCACGTCTAATTTGCACGAGGGCTCTCGTGTTTCTTGCTGCTTGATGTGATACGAGGCGGCCATGATGGTTCGAACTAGAGGATATATTGTTGCAAACAAGCTTCCAGGATACAGTTGGACTCGTCGACTTCATGAAATTGCCATTTGGTCGGGTTGGAAACCTAGTCTACCACGACAGATTGCCGAGCGAAAGTGTGCGGCGGGGGCAGTTGCGACCCGCATCGTCCCTTATACCACCTGTACCCCATGACATCAGATTCGGTAAGGTTGAAAAGGCGCTCAACCCAGCGATGTCTGAATATAGAGAGTGTTCTGGAAAGCCTAGCGCCACCCGTAGCCTCTGAGATCTAATGCGGGCGTGACATGGCAATCTGCACGGGGTAGCGTTGGCGGCAAGGGGCTGAGGCTACCACCGTACCTTGCGAGAGCTGATGGGGAGCTTTAGCCCGATCTTTCTGTCTGGTTGGTTATGAAGTGGATCACCCTAGGGTCTCGTTTCTGGTTGTGCTGCAAAAGCGCAGTTATAGCTGTTGTCTTGCGCCAGAGACATAATGCGGTGGTGAATGAATTCGTCTGGCCCAGAACAAATTAGGTAGATTCATTCCCCAATTATGACTAACACTCGATCTAAATTATACTCATAGCATCGAACTTCTACATAACTCTGAATTCCATGCCTACATATTATGCCTTGAACCTTTCACTGTACGTAAGTCCTGCTCTAGTGCAGTTCTTGCATCCTTTCCAAGGTGTTGGTCATGACCTGCTGACGCCTGCTCATGGAGCAAGGGGTATTACATTCCAATAAACCGCATGACCCTTGAGAGGCATTGAAAGACCTGCCGTGACCGATCAAAGCCGAGCGCGCTCTGGCCCAGCATACTCCACATTCAACAAAGAAGCCTAATCATATACCCTTTCTAGACCTGACCCTTGATTTCCACATTGAGTACACGAGGGCCGTGGTTCCATACTCCTCACCAGTATTGCAATTCCACCTGGATCTGTACACGTGCCACAAGCATGCGTCCTCATCTAGTCCTATAGCGCCTCGGAAATGGGTACCTATTATGATGATATGAAGATGTTAATTTGAGCGGAGATATCAATCGCTACGCTAACCCACACTATTGTACAGTAGATTGCAACAAACGTACAGCCTCCACAGAGTCAACATTCGCTCACTCGCGTTCAACCTTCCAATCCCGCAGAAACCGCCAGCGGGCCGTCTCCTTCCACCCGGCCGCCTTCCATCCATTGGCAGTCGCAGGGAAGGTCTCCACCACCCCCTCCAAGCTCGTATCGTGCGCGCACATCACAAAGACATGGCTCGCGCCGTCAAACTCAGCCAACGAGCCCACACTCCGCTCCGCTTCCTCTGGATCCACCGCTACGCTTCTCCCGTTGGGAAAGATGTGAACGTGGTAGAAAGCAGAGGTCTGGTACTTCTCGGGGGAGGGGTGGATTGCCGCGAAGATCTCGCCGGGGCAGGGCACCGAGACACCGGTGTAGGGGCTGGGCGTGATCTGGTCGGGCAGAGGGACATGCTCCGAGGGGCGAAGTTGGCCCGCGTGGTGGATTGTGTCCGCGCCCATGAGGATGAATGTGTTCGAGCTGATTGCTTCGCTGTCATTGCCATTCCCATTGCTGCTGGTGGTGCGGGCTAGACCGCAGACATGCCCGACCGCGTGGCCTGGCACATCGAGGAGGTAGAAAGAGCCGTCCCCGAAGTAGTCGTGGGCTCGGAACCCACCGATCTGGAGGGTGAACTGCTCCGGGGGAATTTCCACCAGTGCACGTCCGGCGACATCCGACTCCAGCAGTTCACTCGCTGGATTGGACGGGTAGGCCGGCAGCGAGGCAGCGGATACACCTGGTTCGACTACCAGCGAGGTTGTGGACGGGAAGGTGGAGGCATCGCCGACGTGGTCGAAGTGCGTATGACTTTGTTTGAGGCTCATAGTCAGCGATTGCTTCCTTTTCTTGGGGATTAGCGCTCGGATTTACCTCCAGATTATCGCGTCGATGGTTTCCAATGCGATGCCATGGTCGGTCAAGATCTCAGCCACGTCTTTCTCGATGGTTATGCTGAACATGGCCTTCAGGCGATCGTACAAGGGTTTCGCCAGGTTCTCCCAGTCCTTGCGAATGCCCAGGTCGAAGAGAACCCGTTTGTTCTGGGACTTGTTCTCGACCATGAATGCGTACGCGCCGGTGTTGAGGTCCTTGAAACCACCAACTTCTGGTGTGAGAAAGATTCCAGGAGGACCATGAATTCTGGCGGTTGTGTCGATGATGCTCACTTCGACGGTGTTGCCTGAGGCAGGGATGTTGAGGTCTATTTGGGGCATATTGTGACTGGATGGTGTAGTGATTTGTGTCAATTGATTTCATTGTTCTGCCTGATATAGTGGCAGGATGCATGTTCCATCTTATACATTTCGCAACGGCGCATACTTCCATCTGGAGATACCTACTCAATGTTTGTCAATGAGCTGAACAAGGAAGCTATGAGGATTGGTCAGCACCGGAATATGTCGGGAAACGGAAGATACCTTGCCTATCCTCGTGATGCCTCAGCCTAATAGCTATCGATCGATGGGGCCGATGGCGCGCGGGTGGGCGAAAGAAGATCAATGATACGAGGAATCATAGGTAGACCCCAGTCGCTTTGTTGGCGGATCACCGGATTATGGACCGGATAAAATGGCCGGTGAGTCAGATCTCCACCGAAGAGCCGCGATAGCGGCCAGAAATAGATCAACTGGGGTAAGCTCTGCAAACTATGGTGCCACGACTGCCCGATCGGAGCTTGTTACTCGTAGCATCCGACATTCCCCACATTGACTTAGAGGTTGTGGCGAAGCTTGGACTTGTGATCCAGCTTGTGACCATAGAAGTGCACAGTCCTCGTCCATGCACCTGCCGCTTAGCCGTGCTCCCCTGCTTTCCCACTCAACCGAACAATCAACATCACCATTCTCCATAAACCTGCAAATTAAAAATAGACAAGAAGGTAGTTGAATATTGCATAGGCTATATTACCTAGTTCGAGGCTGCGACGGATCTCCACAGCTCGTATTCCACACGGTTGAAGAAGTATTCAAAGACATTGGGCTGCTTTGTACTGCACATGAGAATGCACTTGATAAGGCCTTTTCTCGCATGGCATGGTGCCCAGATGGATACCTCTAGAGATTATGCTGCTTTTCCACACCAGGTCTCGGCTACAGGGACGAGGGCGATTAAATGTTCACCGATTCAATAATGAAACCTTTGTTAATATAACACATTAAATAGACCACGGAAGTTATTCGTTCGTCAGGGGCTACATTGTGACATTGCACTAGTATACAGCAAGTCACCGACTCCTATCTTTTGCTTCTTCATGCAGCCCAGGAACCATCAGGTTATTTGTCTCTTTTTGCAACCCAAGAACCAAGAAAGCAATTCTAGGGACAGGATAAAGGTCTGTCCTAGTAGATGTGTTGCGGATAGCTAATCCGATTTTTGCTTAGGTTCTCTACTGTTCTAAGCGACAAGACCCGTCAATTCCTGCCTGAGTCTCATGTTGTTCGTGCAATCACAAGTTATACATACAATCTATACACTCTAACCTTCTAGGATAATAGTATCACTCTTTCCTCTCTCATTCCCAATCTCGTTTCGACAGAGAAGAAGTGACCGACCCCAAGCTCAATCTGACGATGCACTAATAGTCCTCCGAGCCACCTGCACCTCCGGCGAAAGCCCCTTCAACACCTCCGCCAGCTCATCAGCTGCGCTTTCCAATGCTTCATCCGAGACCACCTCCCCCAAGGCATCAATAATGAACAACACCCGGGTCGTCTCATCCGTCAACGCCGTCCGCGGACCCTGCCGCCAATTCCAGCGCCGACAGGTGATCCCCGTGCTGTCGCACCAGATCGGCTCCCCCGGCGCCGCCAGCTCCGTCTGCGGCTCCCCGCCGGAAAATGTCTGGAATGGCTCCGTGCCTGTCGCACGGATGAGGAATGGTGCCCCGTCGTACCTGTCGAGATCCTCGCCTCCGAAGGGTAGCTGGTGCTTGATGGAGATGGCGTTGTAGATGTCCGTCAGACGGTTGACTCGGGGCAGACCCGCCTCGACACGCCGCGTTAGCGCTTCCAGACTGTTCCGGGTCTTCTGGGGTTTGGCGCCGAAGGCCTTGTAGGTGTCGCGCCAGGCGGCAATGTGCGGAAGCTCGGTGACGGGCTTGCTGGCTAAGACTTCCTTGACATTTGTTTCAGCTTGTTCGAGGAGGGTCTCGCTGGTTTGGTCGCTGGGGCTCGGGGGGATGTTCTCGACCACCATCAGGAGGGCGCGGTAGTCGGGCCGGAGCTGGAAGATGGCCGGGTCGACGCGCGCGGCCTTGAGTAGGGCTTGGGCGGTTTGCGTGGTGCTCATAGTGAGAAAGTGTCAAGATTGAGAGTCTTGAAAGTATGGGTCCTCGGATGCAGAGAAGATTGAAGTGCAAAGGGGGGCGGGCTTGATGCCCTACAAATACTGGTATATATACAAAATGGCGGCGAAGCGCCAAGACCGGGGGAAGAATCTTGGGTCGCCCCACTACCCTTAACTTCTCTTTCGGGAAGGCCCCCGATTGCCCCCCGGCCTCGAGTCAGGCAAGATCTCCGCGGTAGCCGGCCGCGAATGTCATCGGACAAAGCACTACCGGCTTCTAATTCTCAGACCCGATCATCCTGGCAGCTCATTTGAAATCCCAGCCTGCGCTGGAAGCTCATGCGCCTTTACCACCCCTTGATTGCCTTCCAATTCATATTTCCTGGGTGCGCCACTCGCCCCATCCAGCTCCGAGATTGCAAGAACTTGCGCACGAGCCGGTTTCTCCTCCGCACTTTCACTGCTCCTCTTCTTCCTAGCTTTATAGATCAGGTACAAGCCCATCAGCCCCAGAATCACAGCAGCAGCGCAGCCCGCTCCGATCCCTGCTTTCGACCCCATACTTAGACCACCCTTTGAGCCCGGATCGATCATTGCAACTTCCGTGCTGGATGCGGTAGATACTACATCGGCAGAGGTAGGCGTGACCTGCATCGTCGAGCTTTCATCCATGCTTGTGAGAACCATGGTGGGTGTGCTTATGGTGGTAGTGACCCGATCGAAGGTCGAAGTCGTCGTACTCTCACTGGCATTTGATGGCTGCCCCAGGGTCAGCTGAAATGTTTCCGACAGATACATTTCATCGCCAAAGGTATAACGCAAGTACCATCCGTCGGCCATTGTGAACGATCTTCGCAACGTATAGGTGCCTGCAGTGATATTCACACCGTCAACAGTGTAGCTTATCTCCTCCTCCAAGTGCGAAATCTGGAAGAAAGCGATCTCCATAGGCTCCTTGATCGAATCCGATGAGTTGTAAGTCCATGTTGTGGTGAGACCGTCGTAGATGCTGACGACGTCGCCTTTGTGAGGGTAGGTAACTTCAAATCCTGGATGGATCAAACAATTCGAGAAATCAGTCTCCGTTGTATGCGTTGTAGGTTAAGAGTGATGAGTTAAAAGGGGTGGGGTAGGTATGCTTGTACCAGTTGCTCGGAAGACCTCCAAGGCCAGGGCGAGCAGCAAGATCGAGCGCCACATTTATATGACTGTCAGGCTCTATCTGGGTTGCGATGTAATGGGCGGATTGTGGGGTTGTGGGAAAGGGAGGAGGGGTCGTTATTTAAGTCTCTGGGCTCCCAGGGTTTAGCAGGGAAGGCGCTGCGTTCACATGAAGCTAGAGATAAACTAGTGCAAGAAGTTCAGGGATGTTCAATCATCGTCTGGGTTTTGATTTCGGTTACATTAGCATTGTCTAGCCGTGGTAAGCATTTAGACAAATGGTGAGGAGGGGGTGGAGAACTAGTACTGAATTATGTTTGGGCCATGAAACTCACTAAGAGCACTTAGATTTCACCGGGAACTGAGCTAGCACGCCAATCGACTGCTCCATCGTTCCCTCACCTGGAGCTTCTTTATAAAGCGTCGAAGGTGCTGTCATTAATAATTGTCCTCGAACAGCAATGCTGCGAGGCACTGAATTGGACCTTCTTGCTTCCACACCGGCACTGGAAAGTACTTGTAATAATATGCAACTCGATTTGAGCCGGAGGAAGGGCCCGGGGTGGCCAGTTCGGCTGGACCCCTATTTCCCCCGATATTATGCCCTAACCTTATATAGATCGAACTAAGAGAAGCTAGGCTAGGCTACCTAATTTAGTGCTAGATAGCATCTTCCCAAGTCCTTGGCACAGCACGCCGTCTTTGACTTGTGAGATGCTCCCAGGTCCAATTCTCCAATAAGCCCTAGGTTAAATGTACTTTAGTCTTGTGCCTTGATCCCGGCGAGTTCTAGTGGCAACTCCAAGCAGCGAAATCGACACTGATGAAGCTTGCCTATGCCCTGGGTACGTACTGAAGTGAACCAACACAATAATGAGAAGTCGAGACACACAGTTGGTGCTCTTACAAGTTTCCATTGTACATGAAGTACATCCTCTACCAGAGCGAGAAATTCGGTTACTAACGAAGTGCGAATCGACCATGGTCATCCCCAAACAGCGGCTGCATATAGCAAATAAGGTCGGCACTATCAAGACAATTGGATCTTTCCTGGATCTTGTACTTATCATTAATATGTAATAGCCAGTTGTCGGATCATACATATTACCCATAGCTATACCCGCGGTGGATTGCTCTACAAGATATTAAACCTCCGGCAGAGGACGCAACAAGCGTCGACAATCGGTTTGATAACAAGACTGCCGACACCTTGATTTAGATATAGCCTGAAATGCTACCTCTATTCCCCCACATTCCTAAGGTCAATGCTTGACAATCTCAAGGAGCGGCTGGCTGAGATTATTAAACTTCAATAGAAACTCTCTGTATTTTCAAGGTCTGGAAGAAAGAAATGGACCCGCTGAGGATTCTCACCTTTCTGTCTGCTATTATCTGCCTGCTGCTAGCCCTCCAATGGGGGGGCACAACGTACCCCTAGGGAAGCGGCCGCATCATCGGCCTATTCATTGCCTTCGGTATTCTTTTCTTATGCTTCATCACCATCAAACTTTACGCGGGCGAAAAAGCGATACTCCCGCCCCGACTCCTCCGCGGGCGCAACATCTGGGGCTCAGCCCTATTCAGCTTCTGCCTGAACCGCGCGATCTTCATCTTCGTGTACTACATAAGCACCTAGTAAAAGCATCAATCGAGCCACATCAATACCCCAACTAACCTCAACCTACCGCATCTCAGCTTCCAATCTGGTTCCAGTGCGTGAAAGGAGCCTCAGCCACCGAGTCCGGCGTGATGAACCTTCCGCTGGCCCTCTCCAACGCCCTGCTGGCCATGGGCTCCGACCTCCTCGTCACCGCCGCGCGATATCACTACAGCCCCGTGATGCTCCTGAGCACCGGCCTGACCTGCATCAGCGCGGGGCTGCTACCAGGTATTTTTCGGCCGGGCGGCGGGGCTGGGCATCCAGCTTCCCGTGTTCGTGGTCCAGACCACCCTCCCGACGACGGATATTCCCGCCGCCACCGCGCTCATGGCCTTTTTGCAGGTGCTGGGCGGCGCGATGTTCTTCTTCGTTGGCCAGAATGTCTTCCAGAATCAGCTTGTCGCGGGACTGCTACACGCGGACTTGCCGGTGGAGTTGGATGTGCAGGCGGTTCTGGGGGCAGGGCCGGCTGGGCTGCGGGAGATTGCCTCTGAAGATACGCTGGTGACGTTGCTGGCGGTGTATAATGTTGCAGTGGTCCGGACGTTCTATGTCGCTGTTGGTTTGGCGATAGTTCCGGTGCTGGGGGCGGCGGTTGTGGAGTGGCGGCCGATCAGCAAGGAGGGGCGGACAACATGGACTAATCATAGTGTTCGATAGATCAACTACAGATACTACCAGCGATAGTTTTGATAGAAGCTTGATCCGGACGAAGGAGGCCGAATTCGCTTCAATCTATAGTATGGAATCAGATTGAGCAAATGTCAATGTGTCAGTCAAGAAGCACCACGTTGATAGCAGACAGGTCAGATAATAGTGAAGAGAATGCTTATGACCAGCAGCACCAGCAGGACCAATCTTGCCCCACCCATTGCCCCATCCATATCATACGCGAATCTTCCAATGCCACTTATAATCCAAACACGCCCATCGAGCCGTCAAGAAAAGGAACATCGCTAACACAAGGACGCATCCCAGCCAGACGATCACGATGCGGGATCCGACTTTCTCGAGCATTTCTCCGCCGACGGGTATGGAAATCAACACGCTAGTAGCTTGGTCAGATATTCTGTATTTGGATTGGCTGCGATATGAGGAAAGACTTACGCAAAGCTCACCAGTGCATAGCAGGTCCCGAAGCGCATCCCAATTTCCTTCGCCGGCGACACCTGCCGGATGCACACCGGTGCGAGGCTGAGGAAGGATCCGGAGCTGAGGCCGTACAGCGCGCTGAAGAAGTACAGCGCTGTCATGGAGTGACTGAACGGGTACAGGATGATAAAGATGGCCAGGATGCCGAACGACACCAGGACTAGGAGGGTGTTCAGCCGGCCGTACATGTCGCCCACGCGGCCGGCGACAAGACGCCCGATGACCGAGCAGCTTTTTCCAAAAGTGAGGTTAGTACAGGGGGTACACCTCAATGAGTACGGTTGGGGGGAGGCTCGCTCACATATTGAGGACGACGAGCAGATTGACACTTGTATTCACGCTGAATCCCAGCGCCACAACGTAGGTCGGGAAGAGGCCAAGCAGGGCGAAGGTTTCGAGTTCGAGGACTAGATGATGAGTGAGCCAAGCATAACAACCGGCAGATGAGGAAACAAAAGAAAGACTTACACCATATCCCCACCGTGAGCAGCGAGAACCTCGAGTCCTTGAAGCACCTCGCATCGATAGCCGTTTTCAGCTTGTCGCCCTTGGGCAACCGCGACTTCACCAAAAAGGACCCCATCCCGCAGGCCGCCAAAATCACAAAAGCAAGAATCCGCATCCCCCAACGGAATCCGAACCTCGCGAAGGATGCTTTCAGAAGGAAGGGGAACACGACGCCCCCGAGTCCTGCACCCACCAACGCCGTCCCCATCGCCATCCCGATGCGCGCCTGGAACCAGTGCGGCACGCAGGCCAGCGCGACCGTACTCACCAGCGCACTCCCGATCCCCGCCATGATGCCGAAACTGAGGATGAACTGCCAGTACTGGGTACACTCCGCGGTGAGGAATAGGGCAACGACGTAGATGGTGGACCCGGCGATGACCAGGGCCTTGGGCCCGTAGGTGTCGAACAGCGGTCCGACAAAGACGCCCCCGGCGAGCATCATGAACATGTACAGGCCCGGTACCCAGCCCACAGTGCTGCTTGTATAGCTGGCGAGCTGGTGGGTCTCGAGGTGGGATTGCAGCACACCCACCGAGTTCATGAGGCCGTAGGAGGCGAGCACAAGGAGAGAGGACCCCAACACCACCAGCCATGATCTGAGGCCGCCGTCGGGAAAGTGCTCATTGGTGTCGGAGTGGCGCATCAAGCTCGTTGTGGAGGAGTCCACGAGCTGGAGCTCGAATTCGGGGCCATTGGTGTTTCGTGCGACGACGACATTCTCGGTGTCGGTCACATCGACGCCCGAGCGAGAGCAGGTGGTTTCTTGAGAGGTTGGTGCTAGCTCCATGGGCTTTTTTTGGGTGAGCTCGTGCGGTTGATGGGAGCTTGTCTTTGTGTTAACACCCTCTCTCATTGATCAGACACTTGGTGGAATAAGTGTTCTGATTCTTCAGGCATTAAGCGGGGTCAAATTTTTATAGACTCTTTTTCTTGCGGGGGCTCCACTTCTCAGGGCTTGCAATCCCGAGATCCCGATGCAGGATTAGTGGTCCTACCCAGACCATCGGATGGCCTTCCGATTGGCACATATCGCCGTATCAATCAATCTATCAATACCATCTTTATCCATGTGAGTCATGACAGCTAGTTAAGTTACACATTCCTCAAGCGAATTTTCTCGGCGGATAGCGCGTCCTTGATTAGTGCATCCCATACTACTCCATATCCTTCCCCTCCATTCATAGGTAAAGAACTCGACAATAGTAACATAACAAACTGTACAGTACATACGTCTCAAGCAACAGCAATTCCCCCATCCCCAGCCCACGATTACCCTAGCAGCAACAACACGCATCATCATCCTTGTTATTATTACTATCCCCGCAGCATCCCCCACAGCACCCATCGCAACATCCATCACAACACCCACCACATCCCCCACAGCAATCATCGTCGTCATCGCTCTTCTCCATCCTCGGCGCCTCTGGCGCCTGATACCCGGTATACTGGGTGGTCGTCGCAACATCGTCCCCGGGGTACGTCATATCATTGTTGTCCACATATCCGCGGTTGTCATCATTGTCACGATTGACATCATCGCCAGACCAGTAATCCCCATCGTCTCGGACATATTGCCCGGAATCCCGGTCGTCGGGGTTGTTCTCCCGTAGCTCGATCGTTTCGTTGTTTTGGGTCCATTCGTTGTAGATCACCGCGCCCCCGAGACCGGCTGCTGCACCGGCTGCTGCGCCGGCTATGATTGGTGTTCTGCTGTGCGGGTGGCTGGTGTGCGTTGAATGAGTGGGATGAGTGGGATGGAGACTGTGTTGAGGGTGTGGCGCGGGGTGGTGAGCGGTAGGGTGGTGAGCGGCGGGGTGGTGCTGTGGAGCGTGGTGAGGCTGGTGAGCTACCGGATGAGGGTGCGCTGCTGC